GTCTCAAAAAAACAAAAAACAAAAACAAAAACAAACCCCAATAAAAACTAAAAAATAAGACCTAGAGTCTCATTATACAGTATTTAAAAATATCCAATATACAATTCAAAATTGGCATATGAAGAACGAGAAAGATCTCAACTCACATTAAACAAAACTACTAATAGAAGTTAACACTGAGATGACACAGATATTCAAATTATCTGACCAAGACTTTAAAGAAATCATCATAAAAATGCTCCAAAAAGTAAAGCCAAACTCTCTTGTAATGAATCAAAAGATATAAAGTCTCAGAAAAGAAACAGAAGATATAAAAAAAAAACAAATGGAAATTTTAGAATTGAAAAATACAATAATAGAAATAAAAGAACTCACTGATTGGGCTTACTAGCAGAATAGAGATGACAGAGGAGAGTCAGTGAACTTGAAAGGATTAACAGAGATTATCCAATCTGAATAGAACAGAAGAAAAGAACTAAGAAAAAGGAGCAGAATTTTATGGACCTGTGGGACAAAAATGAAAAGTTTTTAACAGTTGGTTCACTGAAGTTCCGGAAAGAGAAGACAAAGAGTATGATGCAGACAAAATATCTGAAAAAATAGTGGCTGAAAATGTACCAAATTTGGTGAATGGCCAGATTCAAGAAGCTCGGGAAATTCCAAACAGGCTAAACCCAAAGAAATCCACACCCAGACACATCACAAACTGTGGAAAACTAAAGACAAAGAAAAAATCTTAAAAGCCATCAGAGAAAAATGATGCATTATTTATGGGGAATAATTCAAATGACTATGGATTTCTTATCTGAAACCACAGTAGCTAGAAAAAAAGTAAAACATTTTTAAAATGGTGAAAGAAAACAACTGTCAATCCAGAATTCTACATCCTACAAACATATCCTTTAGGAATAAAGGTAAAGTGAAGACATTTTCAACTGAAAGAAAACTAAGAATTTATTGCCAATGAAACTGCTCTAAAAGGTACACTAAAATACTTTCCTCAGGCAGAAGGAAAATTACATCAAAATGAGACTTGGAAAAAAATGAGACTTGGAACATTAGGAATGAAGAAACAACAGAAATGGTAAATACCTGGTTGAGTATAATAGACTATTCTTCTCTTACTGAATTCTTTAATATGTTTGATGGTTGAAAACTAAAGTTATAATATTGTATGGTATAGTTTTTGATGTATGTAGATCTATTACATAAGACCACTGCAACATAAAGTAGGCAGGCTAAAGGGACCTACATGATGGTAAGATTTCTGTCTTAGGCAAAATACAAAAAATTAGCCAGGTATGGTGGCACTTGCCTGTGGGTCCAGCTACTTGGGAGGTTGAGGTGGGAGAATCACTTAAGCCTGGGAGGTGGAGGCTGCACCACTGCACTCACCCACAGAGTGAGACTCCATCTCAAAACAAGCAAACACAAACAATAAAAATAAACCATGCATTTCTCACCCTCGCATTCCACTCTCTTTCTAACCAATTTTTCCATCATTCCTGGCATGCTTCATTCAAAGGGGCTGTTCATATTCTGCCTTCAGTTTTCCATCATTTCATCATGTGCTCATTTCTATAATTCTTGGTCTGTTGACTTGTTCTTCAAGACTCAAATCCTTGCCTTTCCTATTCTCCCAGATCTCCTCAGCCTGCATTATTCTAGTTTTTAACAGAACTGTCTCCATGAGACACTGGGCAAAGCAGCCACAATGGAAATTGCTGTAAAAATGTTAGTGCGGTGATTATGAGATAATGTTTCATGTGAGGCATTATTTTTGTAATTCGTGACTAGGAACAAAAAATAATTAGGTACTAGGAAAAAATCTTTATATCTTCCCAGGAATCACTCTGCTTCATGATACCCAATAAAACTAAAGAGCTGATCATGTTTTGCTTTTTGTCGTGGCAGCCAGGAAGCCCAGAGCCAGTTTTCAAGCTACTCTGCCCGTTATTTACATTTTAATTTTCTTTGGTTCTAGTTTTCTTTTCTTTTTTCTTTTTGAGACGAGTCTTGTTCTGTCACCCAGGCTGGAGTGCAGTGGCGCAATCTCGGCTCACTGCAAGCTCCACCTCCCGGGTTCACACCATTCTCCTGCCTCAGCCTCCCAAGTAGCTGGGACTACAGGCGCCCACAAGCGCACCCGGCTACTTTTTTTGTATTTTTAATAGAGATGGGATTTCACCATGTTAGCCAGGATGGTCTCGATCTCCTGACCTTGTGATCCACCCGCCTCAGCCTCCCAAAGTGCTGGGATTACAGGCGTGAGCCACCGTGCCTGGCCGGTTCTAGTTTTCTACTTGCGTTCATATTTTATTATTTTATTGCTTATGTTTTCACTGTAAAGCCACTGCAAATTCTTCGTAGGTCTTGCTGTGGTGGGCAATTAACAAATATCCAAATGACTAAATGAAAGCCACTAAAATGCACGTGCTCCTCAGAGCAAAACACTATCAAAGCATTACTTCTCCGATGGCCACTTCCACCTGGTGGAAGGGAAAAAGTACTGGGTACCTGGGGGGCAGGTGTTTATCCTCAAAGAAGTTGTTCTAAGACCTAGAGTCATGGGTCTCCCTCATGATCCTTTTCATTCATGTCTCTACTCAGTCTTGGGGGATCCACTGATGGAGTGAGAACTGAGTTTAAGAAAGGCTCTGATGTGGCTTTACTTTAGGGCTGAAACCAGCTACAGAGGGCTACAGGATATCTGTTTGGAGCTTGTGAAATAAACATAACTCTTTCATTTCTTAATGAAGACATAAAGACCTGCAAAGACTAGTCCTTCTGAATACCCCTTCCTATCCGAAAACCATGCCCTGCTGTCATGGGAATTTGTGGGAAAGGTCTATGGGGATTGACTCCAACTCCAAAGTTTCACTAATGCTAAAAAGATGTAAGGGATGCCTCTCACATTTAGTTTTTGACTTAAGATACTTAAATTTTTAAAAAATTTTTGTGGGTACATAGTAGGTATATATGTTTATGGGGTACATGAATTTTTTTTTTTTTTTTTTTTTTTTTTTTGAGATGGAGTTTCGCTTTATTCCCCAGGCTGGAGTGCAGAGGTGTGATCTCAGCTCACTGCAATGTCTGCCTCCCCAGTTCAAGTGATTCTCTTGCCTCAGCCTCATGGGTAGCTGAGATTACAGGTGTACAACACCAGGTCTAGCTAAATTTTTTTGTATTCTTAGTAGAGATGGAGGTTTCACCATGTTGCTCAGGCTGGTCTCGAACTCCTGACCCCAAATGATCCGCCTATCTCAGCCTCCCAAAGTCCTGGGATTACAGGCGTGAGTCACTGTGCCTGGCCCATGAAAAGTTTTGATACAGGCATGCAATGTGAAATAAGCACATCATGGAGAATAGGGTATCTGTTTCCTCAAGCATTTATTCTTTGAGTTACAAATAATCCATGACACTCCAAGTTATTTTATCTTTTTAATTATTTATTTATTTTAGAGCAAGACAGAGCGGAGTCTTGCTCTGTCGCACAGGTTGGAGTGCAATGGTGTGATCTCGACTCACTGAAACCTCGACTCACTGAAACCTCGGCTCACTGCAACCTCTGCCTCCGGGGTTCAAGTAATTCTCCTGCCTCAGCCTCCTGAGTAGCTGGCATTATAGGCGCGTGCCACCACGCCCAGCTAATTTTTGTAATTTTAGTAGAGAGGGGTTTCACCATGTTGGCCAGGCTGGTCTCAAACTCCTGACCTCAGGTGATCCACCCACCTCGGTCTCCCAAAGTGCTGGGATTACAGGCGTGAGCCACCCTGCCCAGCCTCTAAGTTATTTAAAAATATACAATTAAGTTATTATTGACTACGGTCACCCGGTTGTGCTATCAAATAGTAGGTCTTATTCATTGTTTCTATCTTGTTTGTAACCATTAACCATTTCCACCTCTCCCCAGCCCCCCACTACTCTTCCCAGCCTCTGGTAACCATCCTTCTACTTTCCATCTTTATGAATTCAATTGTTTTAATTTCTAGCTCCCACAAAATGAGAACATCTGATGTTTGTCTTTCTGTGCCTGGCTTATTTCACGTAGCATAATGATAGATACTTTCTTTGTCACCTTCCCTTACATCATTACCATCATCACTACCCCAGGTTCTCATAACAGATACAGGTATCAAATTTCTGCACACACCATAAGAAACTTAAATATCTATCCTATATTACGTGTTTTCCAATCACTTGATCAGTGTTAATTCAAATAGTAGCTCAGGGACCATGGTCTCTCAATTAAGATAGTAGACACACCTCAAAACTAGATTACCAAGTCTTCGGGATGAACTCCAAATGCCTTAGCCTGGCATTCCAGACCCTCCCAGTGTGGATTCAACCCACCTCTTTACCTTGGTCCTGCTGATCCCCACACCAGCCTCTGCTTACTCCACAAGCAGCCTGAGCAGGGGTTCTCAGTCACTCCCCACAATGCCTCTGACCATTTCTCCTGCTTGGAACGTTCTTCTCCGTTTCCTTTATCACTCAAGGCACAACTCTCTGGCTTCCCCAACTGTTCCGTCTGCAATCTCTCTCCTCTCTGATACATTTCCTGCACCGCTTGTTTGTGATTTAATCATAGTTGCCTTTAATTATTATTTAGCTATTCAGAAGCTTCTCAAAGGCAGGAATCATATCGACTTTTCCTTGTTTCCTCTGTTCTCCACCTGGCAGTGCTATTCAGAGAAGGTGGTCACTACTGGTTGAGTGCATGACCACCCTAGAGGGCCAGAATTTAAGATCAACATTTACTGGTTCCCGGTTAAAGCGGCTAGGCCAGCGCATCAAATTGGCAGGGTGTGGCGCGAGGGGAGTAGGCCCTGGGCGCCAGCATCCCGGGGTTCTTAGAGTGGCTCAAATATCCCTACAGCAGTAGGGCCTAAACAGGGGTTTGACGCCGCAGCAGGGAGGGTCAGGCGTGTGTGGCCTCGGTCTTTAAGAGTATCCTTTCCGCCGGCCTCTCTGCGTGAGTGGCGGTTTATGAGTTTTACCTGATCTGCATCCCTTTTCTGCAGGAGCACATGTCCTTGCGCAGGAAGAGGCTGTTCAGCGTGACCGCCCCGATCAAGAAGAAGAGCTGCTTCACCGCCTGCCTCACGAGCTCGGGGTCCAGGCCGTTCTGGCACATGGTGGTATAGAAGTAGCTCAGCTGTTGCAGGACGGAGGTCATGGTGTAGGCGTCCGTGTCGTCTACGCTGGAGGAGCGCTTCCGGAAGCCTGTGGGCTTCAGGCCGGAAATGCCCTGCAGGCTCTCGTACTCCAGCATGCCTGGCACTGCGGAGAGAGAGAGGGAAGCTGTGCTGACACCCCAGGAGACACACACGGAACATTCCCGACGCTCTTCTGTTTGTTTCAGGAGATGGGACATTTTTCTACAAGAGTCAGTGAATGTACTTGTGATAGAGAAAGCAAAAGAATCAAGGGTTTGGGACAGCACGGTGTGTGTCGGGGGTAGGAATGGACGGCTGTTTCCAGCGGGGCTGCAGCTCCTCTTCTAGGTTTGAAGCAGCACGTTTTTCAGCTTCACGGGAAAGAAAGCCGGTTAGTGTGACAACTCATGGCCTGGGCATTAAAGCCTAAAGTATTTAAATTTCAGGAAATTAAGGAAAGTATACAAGAATTCGAATGGGGCTTTAGGATTTCAAAAATACTTGGCTAAGCCAAGAAGTAGAAGTACCACATATAATAGCAGTAGTAGAAGTTTCCCCAAGTTTTTTCCTTCAGGATAAATCATCCTTATAGAAAGAAAGTTACCAACAGCGTACTATTATTTATGGAATCATTTTAAGCAAGCAAAGAATTAAAAGGTAGATACATGATTATATTTCCTTGATTTTTTAAACAATGTTACACATAATCACACATTACACATACCAAGTTTATGTTTTAAAAAGTCTTAATGTTACTATAAGTATTTTTTGGTGATCAATTATCTTCTTACCTATTATTGGTTGGATATTCTTTTCCATTATGATAATAAATTGATGATATATTCGTATAGCCACATCACTGAGAATCTGTCTGTATTCTGAAAGGTCAAAATTGTTCAAGCAATTCTTATTCTGATGTGGACTATTATGCTTCATGAATTCCTAAAAGTAATTTTAAACATAAAGTATTAGAATAATACAGACATGTAGGAAATTAACATAATAATCAGCTACTATAACTCTTTTACCTTAAAACTTAATGTCTGATTTATATCAAATGAGTTCATGATGCTTGGGGTAGCATGTACGTTCTGTAAGAGAAAAATTGCACTGATTTCCTATATGATCCCAGTCTGTCACACTATCATTGTCCCACCCACTTCCCTACAAACATTGTCCCTGGAATCTGTAGACTAAGTGGAAAAGCTCATAGAAAGCCCATAGAAGCGTATAGGAAAATTAAACAAAACTGCAGAGCATCCAAGGAAACAAACTGCTACGAAGAGGTAAGTGGATACAATAAATGAGATTCATAACCTGATAATTATAGGGTACAAAGTTGAAATATTTTAAAGTGTGTGTTATGGATTGAATGTGTCCTCCTAAAAATCATACATTGAAGCCCTAACCCCCTAGTGTGGCTGTATTTGGAGATGGGGCCTTTAGGGAGGTAATGAGGTTAAATGAGGTCATGAGGATAGTGGTGTGATCTAATAAGATTGGTGTCCTTATAAGAAGAGACACCAGAGAGAGCTTGCCCTCTCTCTCCCTCTCCCTGACCCATGCACCCAGGAAAGGTCCTGTGAGGACACAGGGATGGAGAAAGTGGCTGTCAGCAAGCCAGGAAGAGAGCCCTCACCAGGAAGTGACCATGCTGGCACCCTGATCTCAGATGTTTAGCCTCCAGAACTCTGAGGAAATACATCTCTTGTTTAAGCCACCCAGCCTGCGGTATTTTGTTATAGTAGCCTAAGTGAACTAATGGAATATGTTTAACATGTTCAAGGAGACTAAAGAAAAAGAAAAAATTAAGAATAGGACATTATGGGCCTGGGCATGGTGGCTCACGCCTGTAATCCCGGGAGGCCGAGGCAGGCGGATCACTTGAGGTCAGGAGTTCAAGACCAGCCTGGCCAACATGGTAAAACCCCATCTCTATTAAAAACACAAAAATTAGCTGGGCATGGTAGTGCATGCCTGTAGCCACAGCTACTCAGGAGGCTAAGGCAGGAGAATTGCTTGAACATGGGAGGCGAAGGTTGCAGTGATCCAAGATCATGCCACTGCACTCCAGCCTAGGTAAGAAAGTGAGACCCCATCTCGAAAAAGAAAGAAAAGAATAGGACATTGTGGTAAGAGGCAGAGGTGAAAAGGAACAAGAGAGATTTTAGAAATAAAAATATGGTAACTGAAAAAGCAGTCAGACAGGGAAAAGAACATTCTATACATGACTGAAAGGGGCAAAGAAAGGATCATAAAACAGTGCTGAATAAGACATTCTTCCACTAATGTCTCACAGATACCAGTTTGCTGTAAATGGACTAGTCTGTGCCTCCTCCTGTTTTGGTATTCCTTTTAGTCAGAGGTTGGATTTTCTTTACTTCTCCTTTTGTTCTATAGTACTAGTCAGATTACTGTTATATTTTATTTTACCTTCTTTCCATTGGGACAATTGTTTATCTATATGGAAGAGGATATTAGATCATTACCTTACATATCAATTTTGGATAGGTAAAAACATAATTGTCAACTCTAAAGGTGAACTACAAAAGTTTAGAAGAGAGTATCTTCATGATCTCAGGGCGGGGAAGAATTTCTTAACAAGACACAAATCATAAAAGACCAGGTTTGACAGATTTAAGCATATCAAAATTCAAAAACTGTGTGACAAGGGACTTCATAAAGAAAATTAGAAGCGAAGCTACAGTCTATCCATATGATATAAAGACCTCCTACAAATCAATAACAAAAAAACCAACCCTAAGAAAAAGAAAGAAAGGATGTGACTAGGCAATTCAAAAGGAAACCCAAATGACCAATAAACATATAAAATTATGCTTGACTTTGCTAGTGACCAAATAAATGCAATTTAAGTCAACAAGATATAATTTTATACCCTGACACAGGTAAAGGATAAGAATGTCTGTCAATACCAAGTGTTGGTGAAGGTATGAGACACTGGAAACATCATACACTGCCGGTGGGGCTGTGAAATGGTACAGGCGTTTTGGAGACCACTGAAAACCCTGAAAGCCACTTTGTTATTTTAGTTCAATGAAATTTTTCTCTGCAAGTACTTGAAGGTGGAGAACTCTTTTATGACATCAGCCTCCTGGAAGCAGAGTCGGAATGGCAAAGGAAACATATTTATAGATTATGGAGGAACAGTCAGGGTCCTGTAGAGAGAACAGCTGTGAAGAAACAGGCATTTTAAACCAAGGGCTGTATTTTGGAGTCATAATGCTAAACATCTTACAACCAGGAGGAAACTTAAAATTCGTCTTATCTACCTATTGATTTAAAAGTAATGGAAACCTAGGAGGCCTAGTACCGTGCCGAAAATCTAAGCTGCTTCCAGAAGTCTCTTGCCTGTGGTGTATACCCAAGAGTCCAACAGATAATATGCTGTTGGCCTCCTGGGTGAAGAGAATAGAGGCTCTATTGAGCTCTGGCTCAGGTGGTTATAGAATGGCTGTCAGCACAAAACAAGCAGGTGAGCGCCCCCTACCTCTTCTCCGCTGTACTGCTTCAGGCAATTGAGAAAATGGCAAGTGTTGGAAAGCCAAAAAGACAGCATTTCAAAGTCTTCTAAATGTTCCTTAGAAAAATAAGAAAAGACAGAATTGGACTTGATGATTACTTGTACCTCTGAGCATCTTACCTGTTTAGTTATTTGTAGCTTTTGACCAAAATTAATTTTTCTTTTATTCACTAAAGCCTTTATCTAATTCATACTATAATGATAAGAGCTTATATTTATTTAGGTCACAGTTTGTAACATGTTTCTGTACAGGTTGTGTCGCCCATTATGAAGTTGAAGCAGCCTTGAAGGAATGCATGAGCAGTGTAAGTTTCACTTCTTGCTCTCCTAAGTTCACACTCTCACTGGGAAGATAGATAGGACAGAGTTTAGTAGGTGGTCAAGTACCCACACAACGGTTGTAGACTGTGCTACAAAGCTCAGGGGATGGAGAGAGAGGATGGGGAGGCAGAGCAGCTGAGGAAACTTCAGAGAGGCAGGAGGTCTAGCCCTTGAGGGAAATGGGTGGAGAGACAAGAGCTCAGGACTAGGACTGTCGGGGAGAAGGCCTCCACTTACAGGGCAGGAAGAAGAGGAACAAGCAGCGAAGGCAGAGGTACAGTGATCAGAGGGGGAAGAGGAAAACAGAGAAAATCCTGGGATTTAAAAGACAAGGGAGGAAGCTTTCAAGGAGATGGTACTAATGCTTTGGTCAATTTAAAGAGAATAAAAAGTAAAGAAACACCACTGGTTTTAGTAAGAGGAATTACTGGTGATCTCTCTGTAGAGTGATGGGTTAGAAGCCAGATTGCAAGGAGTGACAAAGAGAACTGGTGGAGACCACTAGTTTAAGCACTTTGGCAGTCCGGGGTGGAGGGAAAGGAACAGTGGCTAAAGAGGGTATGTGGGCACATCGCTGTAACTGCTGTGTGCTGGAGGTGGGGAGGTGCAGGTCCTGGGCACATGCAAAGGCAGTGGGAGGGGGCCACGGAGAAGTTGAGACTGAAGATGCTGGTGAGAAAGGGGTCTTACAGTCCTCATGCCATGCGTCTCTTGGTTTATGAATATTTGGCTAAACACCCCAGAGCATCAAGGGGAGGCAAATACTCTGTGTCCTGTGCTGGAACACAATACCAGCTTGTCTTAAGAAAACCCAATTTATGCAAATATGGACAGGAGGAAAACATCAATTTATGGGAGCCCCTTCCAAAAACACTCTGGGGGCTCCTGTGAAGACGGTGACTATAAAGTATCCAGCACCAAACAAATGTGAATTTCCTATTCCTAACGCCAGATAAATAATGAATTCATGATACTTTTGGAAGCAGAGGAGAATTACCATACTCTTGATGTCTCACAAATCTAGTTTTTATGTTTCTTTCTTCCTAGAGTTTATTTATTTATTTTTGAGACAAGGTCTGGCTCTATCACCCAGGCTGGAGTACAGTGGTGTGATCTTGGCTTACTGTAACCTCTGCCTTCCAGGCTCAAGTGTTCTTCCCCCACTCAGCTTCCCAAGTAGCTGGGACTACAGGCACACACCACCACACCTGGCCAATTTTTGTCTTTTTTGTAGAGACAGGATTTCACCACGTTGCCGAGGCTGGTCTTGAACTCGTGAGCTCAAGTGATCTACCTGCCTCAGCCTCCCAAAGTGCTGGGATTACAGGTGTGAGCCACCACACCTGACCTTCCCTAGAGTATTTAAAATAGAATTTAATTCCTCATTACTCTTTAGAACACATATTTTACTAAAAATAAGTTAGGATCTCCCTGATTAAAAATTCACATATATTCTAATATCGAACATCACTTCTCTCTCGGAGGGGCATGAAAAACACTGTTATTTTAGTGTTATTTATGTCTTATTGCCCCCTTCCAATATGGATCAGTACATTGTAATCCCAGAAACGAGTACTTTTTAACATAACTGTAAACTGGTCATTTCCTAGAAAGAGAGAAAGAGAGAAGGTTTTTGTACTAACTCCACTGTGGCTAATGGAATTTCCACACTCAGGGTAGCATCAGGTCTGGCTTAGAACTAAGTCAACCACCCTACCCACACCCAAGATTCCAGCATGCGCTAAGCATTACCAGAGAACTCTTTTTACAAAGTAACTATCCCTGTAAGCAAGGATCCAGGTCTGTTTACAAAAATCTTCAACGCTTAGATACAGTTATTTACTCATTGATCATTTATGGAGTTTCCAGGAAAAATAATCAGCCTGCTAAGAATGATTTTAGGATTATGTTTCAGTTGGAAAGGAAATTAGCAATAAACTTTATGTTACTGTTAAGTTAGCCTTCACAAAATCCCGCCCTTTGTCATTGTCATTTTTGATCATTATCCACTTGTCACACCATGAAGAGATGATTGCTCATAAGAGTTCAGTTGGTGACTTCTGATACGTACACCATACACACATGGTCTGTGTCCTGTGGTAGGTTCCCTCTCGCCCAGTGGTAGACTGCTGGCTGCCTGCTTGTCCAGTCATTCCAATAAGGACACTGACTTAGGGAATGGACAACAGCAAGTTGGAAGGAACCTGGGTCCCTGCATGATCATATAGAACAGAGCCACCTTCCAACCTAGATGGCTCATTATGGAACTGCTATCAGCAAAGAAAAATCCTCCATCTTCTTTAAGAAACTGTATATTGGGCAAAGGGAGGTGGGAGGTGTCTTATAGCTACAATAGCTTAACTTTACTAAGTAACTAACCTAACTAATACACAGTTCATCTTCATTTGTGGACTGGGAATAAAAATACACAATGTGCTTTTAGGAAGAAGAATTATATAATTACCAAGGAAAGAGAGGAGTAATTTTTCATTCCTTTTCATTTCTCATGATTTACCCTTGTTACAGAGATAGAACATATACCCCTCGCAGCTGATAAGTTCACACCCTAAGGGGATAGCAGTGGTAGGGGCAGTGGCTACCAGGTTGCAGTCTCGCCGGTAAGGCTTTGAGGGCTATGGCAGTTGCTCATCCATTTATCTTTCCCTAACAGTGTGGCTCCCTTCAATAGTTGGGAGGGAGGAATCAAGCGTCTCACCACACACTGGAGGCTCAGGATGGGCGAAGACTGGGCATCTGGTCATTCCCATAGATGTGATACCAAGGGCCAATGCCAAAGGCACTTCCTACCTTAACCACCTGCTTGATGCCATTAATGGTGCTGTTCATGAGGGACTTCAGCATGTTGGCATCATTCAGAGAGTCTGCGTAGCGCACACACATGAACAGGATATGAGCCGGCAGCCCGGGGATCATGTTCACCACCACGCCACGGGGCTTCAAGTCTGAAGCAGAGAGAGCCAATGAGGATTACAGCTGACAGGTCAGCTCTTCTCCTAAGGAACCCGTGACTAGGGGCAGGGGCTTGTTTGCTTTTCTGTGCTTGATGCAGTGCCTGAATGTATATGGATTTATTTCCTCTTTGAGGAATTCCATCTGGCTCCTTTCTTGTCACAAAATACACAGGTGCCACTTGTTCCTCTTCTTGTTTACAAAGGACTTTCTCTTTCTTAAAAGGTTGAATAAGAGACAGAATCTTTATTTTTCCCTGGTGTGGAAACTCTGATTTCAGACCCCCATTGTAAGAAAGGAACTCCAGTTCCACGCACCCCTACTCCAAGCTCTTTGATGAGGATGGAGTACAGTGTCTGCAATCACATGAAGCTGCCTTGAATAGGGAAAGCAGGCACACACCAGTGCAGCAGAGGATGTCTAGCTGGCCTTGGGGAGAAGAGAACGGCGGAGACGTACAGTGGGGATGAAGGGGAGAGAGAAATCTTACCAAAAAAGTTAAGATACGCAAACAAGGACATCCCCCTGGCTGCATGAAGACAGAAGCACAAAGAAGAGGCTCACACTGTATGACACTGGTAATGGGGGGAAAGAAAAGGGTGGGGGTGCTCACATGAGCTGAGGGGGTCACTCGCAGAAGAGGAAGGAAGGCTACATGTTGGCTTTGTGTTTTGAGATCTTGGGGCCAGCTGACAGGGAGGCAGATTTTTCTCCCGATGCCAGAAAACCACGTGGAAGGTCACAGTGAAGACAGTGCAGTAAGATTGTTTCTATGACCACCAGATCTTGAGCATGCACATGGGACATTCCTGTAACTGAGGCATGGCTGGGAAGCCCCATCACATTGCTGCAGAGAAATTTCTCGGAAGTCAAATGGAGCTCAGAGCCACAATTACTTCCATGAGGCTTCTGTGCTGAGTCACAAAAATGAGGTGATGTTTCTTTTCTACCCTGGTCCTACAATTTGGAAAAGGTCAGGGCAATGGTTCTCAACTGAGGACAGTTTTGGCCCCCACAGGACATTCGGCAATACCTGGAGACATCTTTTACTGTCATCACTAGGGGTTGCTGCTGGCTTCGAGCGAGTAGAAGTCAAGGATGCTGCTCCATCCTTTGTTACTCACCATTCGCAGAGTTAACAGGTCAACAGTGCTGAGGTTGAGAAACTCTGGGCTGGGGTAAGAAGCAGTGGAAGAAGAAAGTAGAAAAAGGACCACCCCTGCCCAGGACTTTGGCACTGAGTGATGTGCAAATTCTCAAAGAGAAAGCAAAAATCCAGAGTTCCAGGTTTCAGTACCAAGAATGAGGTTCTGAATGAGCCTGGCCTCGTCTTCTCTCTTGTATTGCAGCATTCCAAGGTATTCCTTAGGTCCTGAGGACGAGTGCACATCATTGGCTGTAGACAGAGGCAAACAATCAGCTAAATACACAAAAGCAGCTTTCACAGGTCTCGTAATGTGACTATTCTCCTACCCCATTCTGGCTGGTTTGCACGTAAATATCTGTGGCTTTCAGATACATTAAAACTGTACTGTATTGTATCCTGAAGAATTTCTCCAAGTTGTGATTCCTCTTTGTGAGTACATGAGTGAGTACAGCTGCTGCTGAAAAGGCCCAGTTATCCTTTGAAGAGCCTTATGAGTGCCTGATATGTATCCAGCACATGGTAACAGGAAAGGAATCCTAGATGTTGCCTTGTCTTCAAGATGCCGATGCTACTGTGAAAGAAGACTCGTGAAACATTTGGTGTGCAAAGTACCAATGTGCATGATCCTTACTGGCTGTATTAGTTTCCCAGGGCTGCTGTAAAAAGTTACCGCAAACATAGAGGCTTAAAACAACACAAATGTTTAATCATACAGCTCTGGAGATCAAAAGTCTGAAAGGTGAGCCAGGGTGGTGAATGGTGGTTCATTCATCCCAACAGTGGGGATGCAGCGGGGGCTGGAAGCACAGACCTGGGCCCTGCTCTCATGGGGCAGACTGCCATTTGTCATTTATTACTGAAGGAAAAGGATCCTCAGTTTGCTTGTGGACATTTCAAATTTGAGGTGAGAGTTGGGTAAGTAAGCATAAAGTCGCTCTTCAAAGAGATGAATATAGAAAAAGGAACAAACAAGATACAGCCTTGGCAATAAGGCTGGGAGGAAGAGGAAAAAGTAATAGGAACGAAAGAGTGAGAAATGTGAGCAGGAGCCGAACACAGGCAAAGTTCAGTGATGGAAGCAGAAGGAGGGATGAAGGGCTGAGGGTCCCTTTCACAGAGGCTCACAAGGATGCTTTGTGTGTGCAGTGCAGTCCATGTTCAGGATGTCTGCTTCTTAGCTCTCTACTTTTCTAATAGAAATTTGGATACTTACTGATCCTACATATGTAACAGGGAGAGAAGGTGAATTTCAAGCAGTTAATTGAAAACTTGTTCACAATTTCATTTTTTAAAAAAGGGAGCTAACAGAGGAAGAGGTTAATGTATTAATTATAGGATGTCTCTTGCAGGTACATCAACCTATCTGGTATCATCTGAGTGGGAGGGAGCTGTCTTCTTGTCCCAAAGGATCTTTTCGTTAGCCCAGCACTAGGTCCCAAACCTCACCACTTGAGAATCATTCCTTTCGGTTTCATAAGCTTTGGACCAGAGAGAAAATAAACGAGTGCATGTTAGCCTTAGCTCAAAAGAATAAGAAAACAAGTATTGCTTCTTACCTTTTCCAGCTGTCTTGCTTAGTGTCTTGACTTGATCTTGTAGCTTTTTAATCACTCTGTCCTTCATGTCTAATTCTTCTTCAAGATCCTACAGCAATAAAAAGAAACCAGGATTTAGCTTAGAAGCACTTTAATCTATTTTTTTTTCTTTTTTTGGTAACAGCTTTATTGAGCTACAATTCACATACTGTACAACTCACCCACTTAAAGTGTAAACTCAAAGGTTTTTTAGGGTAGTCAAGAGTTGTGCTATGATCACCATTATTTAATTCCAGAACATTTTGTTACTCCAAAAAGAAAACTAACCTTTAATGTCATTCTCTAGTTCCTCATACCCTTCCAGTGCCTGGCAACCACTCGTCTACTTTCTGTCTCTACGGATTTGCCTATTCTGGGCATCTCATATAAATAAATTCATAGAATAGGTTTTTTTATATGTCTGGCTTCTTTCGCTTAGCATAAGGTTTTCAAAATTCATCCATGCCGTAGCAAGTATCAGCATTTCACATATTCTTATGGCTGAATAATATCCTATTGTATGCATGCACTACATTTATCTTGCTCTTATTACATAGGAATGTCCATCATAGAGAATTTAAAAATATGAATGTGAGAAAATGGGCTTTCTAGATGTCAGAAGCTGGAGCCAGAGAAATGTTCAGAGATTCGGGCCTGGTTTTACCTTTCCTTCCTGATAAGGAGGTGGCCTTGCCCATGCTGAATTTGGTTCAAGAACCAGGAGAGTCCTTGGATACCTAGAAATACTTCCTATAAAGGACATACAGTGTTTAAGTTCTTCCAGATCTGAGCCTTTGACACATACAGAACTCAGGCTTCTCTGACCCAGAAAGACCCACCATGCAGGGTCACTGCAGCTGTGTGCCCTCTAGGGACTCTTGGGGCCAAGGGACATTGTGCTGTTTCTACTCTGTGCGGCCACCTCTCTCCCTGCCACCATTCTGTGTCCCTGGCTAGACATGTTAGGAACTCTATGGACTTTAGAAGTGGAGGTGTCAGTAGAGCTTCTTCCCTCCAATTCAAGCCCATCTTATAATATATCTAATAAAATGGGTCACCCATCAACCCATAACTCAGAAAAAAACCCACTCTTAACATATTGATTTCATTCCTTTTTTCCCAATATGGTAAATGTACATTTTATAAAATTGGGATCATATTACATGCGAAATTTCAAATCCTACATTTTTCTGTAGTTATACTGCAGACATTTTCCCATGTCATTGATAATATACCCAAACCATCATTTTAACAGCCAAGTCATACTATATCATACAACAATTTAACCTTTGCTCTATTGTTAGATATGCATTTGATTCCTTTGGGTTGCTTTTTATTCTCTCTGATTATTAACACTATGATGATCACTCTGAACAAAAATCTTGGTCCACATGTTCAAGTATTTACTTAGGATAGAACCTTACAAGTTGTGTTACTGAGTCAAAGGGAATGTACTTTCCAAAGGTTCATGATCCATACCTTCAAATAAGCCCTCAAGAAGTTTATACCAATTTATATTCCCAGCAACCATGTATGACAGTGCCCATTTCAAGATGTTCTCTCCAGCAGCATCTCTATTAATTATTATTAGTAGTAGTAGTAGTATTTTTAGAGATAAGGTTTTGCTTTGTCACCCAGGCTGGAGTGCAGTAGTGTGATCATAGCTCACTGTAGCCTCAACCTCCTGGGCTCAAGCAGTCCTCTTGCCTCAGCCTCCTGAGTAGCTAGAACTATAGGCATGCACCACCACACTTGGCTAGTTAAAAAAAAAAGTTTTCCTTGTAGAGATGGGGTCTTGCTACATTGCCCTGGCTGGTTGAACTCCTGGCCTCAAGTCATACTTCTGCCATGACATCTTAAAGTGCTGGGATTACAGGTATGAGCCACTGTGCCAGGCCCAGATCTCTGTTAATTTGACAGGCAAAAATAATACCTAGTTTTAATTTTGAATGTCTTTGATAAATAGTGAAATTATTACTAAAAGTTTTTTTTTTTTTTTTTTTTTTTTAAATCTCTTAATAAGAAGTTCCTTTTCAGTGACAAAAGAGTCTGGAAAAAAAAAGAAATTTCTTTGACTCAAAGCATCACATAGTGGCTTGAACAGTGTCACCCTGAAATTCATGTCCAACTCAAACTCCAGAATGTGGTGACTTTATATGGAAATAGGGTCCTTGCAGCTGTGGTAAGCTAAGCGTCAATATGAGAGATGGCTACTACAATTTAGGGTGGGCTGTAAATCCAATGCAGATGTCCTTATAACCGACAGAAAAGAACAGAGACAGACAGGGAGAAGGCCAGGTGCAGTGAGGCAGAGGCTGGAGTTACACTGCCCCAAACCAAGGAAGGCCTGGAGCCCTCTAGAAGCTGGGAGAGGCAAGGATGGGTTTTGCTTAGAGACTTCGGAGGAGTGTGCCCTGCTGACACCTTGACTTCAGACTTCTGACCTCCATAATGGAGAGAACACACTTCTGTTGTTTTAGGGCACCTGGTTTGTGGTCATTTGTCACGGCAGCCCTGGCAAACTCATACAGATCAGGTATCATCTGTGGGTAGAATCCGCCGGCTAATGTATAGAGATGATACTCTTGTTGTATGTCCCTCTGCTTATATGTAACAGTGAGGCTACTCCGGGTTCAGAAAGAGCTATGGAAATGAACATGTCAGGCCTGTCGGCTCCCCAGCTCAGCGCACCTGTGGGGAGCAGAGCCAGACACTCAGAGGAGCTCCAGAAGAGGGCACCAGGACCGGGCTGTGCTCTGGGGCACCAGGAACGAACTCATAAATCACAATGCACTGGGACAGTCAGAGTAAAGGATCAAGTGGGGTGACATGCGCAGCACACGCATGACCCGCCCATGTAGCTTCTCCCTGACCGCTGGCTCCACGGAGATCCCAGGGGCCCACGGAAGGCAAGGCAAGGCAGCCTCACACACATGGACAGCAGGTGGTTGCTTCTCTGGTGTAATATGAGGATTCCAGTCTCTGAGAAAGTCATATCCACCTCAGAAAAGACAGCCATCATGTAGGTGCCACTGATGGGAATTTGTTACTTCCTATTAAATGTTAAACTCCTGGAATGTCTCTTTTTGGATGTAACCATTCTTCAGAGTTAAACCCTGACACCCAAAATGTGTTTTTCCTCTATCAAGGTTTTCCTGTGAGATTGGAAATGGGGGCCCTGTCAGCAGGGAGAAGGGCACGTGGGCATGTCCACACTGACCCACTGGACTCATCAGCCCTCCTGGGTCACCCTCTTGGAAGCTCTCAGGTCTCGAAGGGGCCCAAGAGGGTCTCAGCTCCTAGGAAAGTGGCCTACCTGTCACTTGAGCACTTCTCAGTCTTCTGGGTTCCATACAGCATCACAATTTCAAAATCATTGCTGGGACTTGATGTACGGTTACCCAATTTCATTTTGGTAAGGGCATTTAACACTCAGAAAAGACCTTAAACACTTTTAAAAAGTTTCCAAGCCTTCCATCGACATCATGATCATTTCATAGAAGAACATTTTGACTCTTAAAATTGTAGGAAGGCCACCCCCTGAGAAGAAAGCATAGGCACTTATCTGGGGTGAGTTTTGCTGGGTAAAGCACTCACACGTAGGCCTTGCTAGCCTCAGTGTGTTCCACAGCATGGGGACTCCATCCTGGATGGTGACTCCATCCTGGATGGTGCCGTCCACTGATGGTGCTGGGGAACCACGGCCTGCACCTCACTCTCTCTCCTCCTTCACCCTCCCCAGGCTGGCCTGTAAGTCTCTGAGGCCTGTAAGTCCCCAACGCCTTCCCAAAGCCAACCTCAGAGACCACGTGTCTTTTGGGATAAGAAAACAGATGGTTCTGATAGAAGGACCTTTGGTCTATAGATGTTAATTTTATGCTTTAGGTGGCATGTCCCCTCTTTCAGCATCATTTGCACACAGACAGTCTCCATCACCAAGTTAGAAGACTTCTCACCCTGTTTTCCAAAGTGAGCCGAGATGCTTCCTGCCAGAAGTTACTCTTGACTTCACTTTCAGTTTCAAATTGTTTCTTCAAGTGGTCACTAGCCTCCTGCATTTCTTGAATCTTATCAATCAGCTGCTCCTTCTCTTTGGTATGTATTTCATTCTGGGCTTCCATGGCCCTGAGAAAGGGAGGGAGGAATGGCTGGTATCAGTATGACCGTCATGGAGAAGTCACTCACTGTCATAGCAAGTGGTGATATTTCCAAAGATGGGAGAACACCTTGGCCAATTTCTGTGTAAAGCAAATAGTATTTGAATAGGGGCGTCCTTCTGGGGGAAGGAAAAGAGACCAGGACTGGCTGGGACAGAAAACTGTCCATGGACTGCTCTAGTCTCCTTCACCCAGTAAGAGGTTCCATTCTCCACCCAACCCCAGCCCCACTCACTGTTCCCATGGGACATCCACGCCCACCATACCCTGTGACAGCTCAGCAGTCATCCCCTTTGTGACCAGCCTGGGGACCAGACACTCACGAAGCCAGGGATCAGATAGAAGAGAGGAGGGGAGACCATGAGAAGAGTTCCAAAATGGTGCCTTGCTCCTTTTCCACTACTTTGGGTCCTCATCCTACTGATAAAGTCACATGACTAAAGATGCTCTTGGGGATGTCAAGTGTCCATTTATTATTTTGGAAAAATAACTGTCTCAACAAGTTGGCAAAAAAACAGAACATTCTCCCCACAAGGCTCTGCCAGGGCATGAGGCCCTTTGTTGGTCAGGATGGAAATTTGGGGGGATTAGCAATGAAGATTTTTCATCGACCTGGGTTTTTAATTCTCACCCTAAATAGTCTGCTAATAGAAACCGTTCTCTCTCACAGACTCTTACCCGTTGTTTGAACAGATTATTCAAATGCATGGTATAGCATTTCAAGGGTACAAAAGTGTACACATACACTGAAAAGTACGGGTCCTCCCCTCCTCTATGCATCAGTCACCAAGCCTGGAGGCAGCTGCCTGGAGGCAACCAATGTATTGTTCCTTAACAATCTCCCAGAGATGCTGCAGCTGCTGCTGCTGCTGCTGCTGAGTGTGCTGTACATACACATATTTTTTCCTTCCCATTGGAATGGCAATATATCATATATATTAATTAGCATCTGGCTTTTTGGCATTAGTAACACATCTTGGTATATTCTACAGTTTCAGAAAAGCATTACATGAGCATGAACTTGAGGTACACACATCTTTACACTTACTTTCTTTGTGTTCCTTCCTCCTCTTGACTGCGATTTAACTGATTAGACAATTCTTCTAGTTTTCCTATAATGAGAAGAACTGTCAATACTTTGTGGGGGTGGGGGGGCATATCACTGCATTCTGATTTGGGTTTGGTATTATTTTCAATTTTTAAAAGTCCTAAACCAGGGGTGTCTAATCTTTTGGCTTCTCTGGCCCATATTGGAATAAGAATTGTCTTGGGCCACATATAAAATACACTAACAGTAACAATAGCTGATGAGCTGAAAAAAAAATTGCAAAAAAATCTCATGTTTTAAGAAAGTTTACGAATTTGTGTTGGGCCTCCTTGAAAGCTGTCCTGTGCTGCATGTGGTCCATGGGCTGTGGCTTGAACAAGCTTGTCTTAAACTGTATCCAGGCAGAGATGAACTTTTATTTGGTCTCAACAATGTTTAAACATTTTTAAACCTTCATTTAAAAATTGTAATATTTCACATAAAAATCTGGATTCCTGGGTTTTCTTTAAAAATAGGAATCTCTAGCAATACTGGGCTCACATTCCCACTGGGCAACAATCACTGGAGCTTGGAGGCAGAAGCCTCTTTATTTTACTGTATTTTTTTCAGAGACAGGATCTCACTGTGTCACCCAGGCTGGAGTGCAGTGGCGCAATCATGGCTCGCTTCAGCCATCACCTCCTGGGCTCAAGTGGTCCTTGCACTTCAGTCTCCCACACAGCTGGGACTACAGGAACATACTGCCATGCCTGACTTATTTTTTAAAAATTTTTGGGCTGGGTTCAGTAGCTCATGGCTATAATCCCAGCACTTTGGGAGGCCAAGGTAGGTGGATCACCTGAGGCCAGGAGCTCAAGACCAACCCGGCCAACGGCGAAACCCCATCTCTGCTAAAAATACAAAAAAAAAAAAAAAAAAAAAATTAGCTGGGTGTGGTGGTGGGTGCCTGTAATCCCATATACTCAGGAAGCTGAGGCAGGAGAATCGCTTGAACCTGGGAGGCGGAGGCTCCAGTGAGCAGAGATCGCACCATTGCACTCTAGCCTGGGCGACAAGAGTGAAACTCAGTCTCAAAAAGAAAAAAAAAGTTTGTAGAGATGAGGTTTCATCATATTGCCCAGACTGGCAGACTGGTCTCAAACTCGAACTCCTGGCTTTAAATGATCCACCGCTTCATTTAAAGCGGTGGATCATTTAAAGCGTCTCTGCTTCCCAAAGTGCTGGGATTATAGGTGTGAGCCACTGCACTCAGCCTGCACCTCCTTTAAATGTCCTACATACCTTCCCATATGTTTTAGCTAGCCCCCTTCTCACATTTGTTACCTGCCCAGCCCCCTGGAGAACCAGAGTTTAAAACCCCCGAGTACAAGGACATTTCAATGTCATTTCCTGGGTACGGGAAACCATTTTCTACAAGCAGGTTCATGACGGTTTCAGTTACCTTTCATTTTCTCAGTTTGTTCATTCAGGCGGATTTCAAGATCTTGCTTCTGCTTCTCCAATTCTGAAATTTGCTGTTTAAAGTCTGGGATCATCTTTAGAGAAGAATTAGAAATATTAGAATATAAAATACTTTGATCTATGAACTTTAAAATATCAGAAGCAAACTAAACTGTCTTGGCATTCAGCCTGCGGAACATATAATTGTGTAAAAGAGCTAGCCACGACATTAGACTGGATTAACATTCTTTTTTTTTTTTTTTTAACCTCAAAACCTATATAGTCTCAGGAAATACCAGTATGCTCAGAGGAAGCAGTTCTCATACAGCTACGATAGCAAGAGAAGGATGTGTACATGTATAGAAATCCTGTGTTGAGTTGAGGGAGGAATTAGGTGAAGAAATGGCAGCCGGCCTCTTTGGTCCAAGCCCAGAGCCATCATCTCCTCATCTAGGAACAGGAAAAGCCATCTCAAAGGGTCCCACTGCAACTTTTGAATTCCAGGACACGCACTGCTCTGTTAGTAGAGGTCTGAAATTACCCAGTAAGTTTCTCAATCCTTTGTCCCTATCTGTGTATTTCCTTACATGTCTATTGCCTCTACCCGCAGTTAGGTTAAACAGGGTTGTTTTTTTTTTTCCTTCCCCAAGTTTATAAACATGCTCATTTTAAAACTGAGTGGCTGAGATCCAGGCCTCCAAAGTCTAAATGAAGAATACAGACAGCCCCCGATTTACGATGGCTCAACTTACTATTTTTTGAGTTTGTGATGGTGTGAAAGTGATACGCATTTAGTAGAAACCATACTTCAAGCAGCCATTCAACCATTCTGTTTCACTTTCACAGTATAGTATTTGATAAATTACATGAGATATTCAACACTTTATTATAAAAATAGGCTTTGTGTTAGATGATTTTGCCCAAGCGCAAGCGAATGTAAGCATTCCGAGCACGTTTAAGGCAGGCTGGGCTAAGCTATGATGCCTGGTAGGTTAGGTGTATTATATGCATTCTCAACTTACAATACAATACTTCCAACAAACGATGGGTTTATTGGGACATAGCCCCATGGTAAGCTGAGGAGCATCTGTACTTGTTTGACTGTGCAATTGTGTCTCATTGCAAATTCCTCATTGAAATTTCATCCAAGGAAAAAACAAAGGTGTAAAGGTCCCCAACTACTATTCCCTGTGTCCACCCCTGGTCCTCAACTGCTGCTACAGCCCCGAGATTTCCTAACACTCCCAGTTTAGGGAGAGGAGAGGGTAGTAAGGAAGTAGGGGACAGCAGCCAGTGAGGCAGGACAAGAATGCTGGGAGAGCTGGGCATCCTGGAAGCCGAGAGAACAAGGTGGAGAGGGCAAGATTAGCATCGCCAGGGACTGCTGAGACACAGTAAGATGAGGGTGCAAAGGAACCCTTAGTGCTCAGCTCTGTGCAGGCAGAGTCAGCCAGTGGTGGGGGCACACGACAGAATGGGGTGGTGGGCAGTGAATGGGAGGTGTGTGAAGGGAGTATGCCTAGAGGGTCTTTGTAAGTCTGACTAACTCACCAAAGAAACGGGTGATGGCCACAGGAGTGTGGGGTTAAGACAGAGATGGCTTTTTGAGTGAGGAGATTCCTAAAGCATTTCTTCAGGCCAGTAGGCATGAGTTGGAAGAAAGAATGAGACAAATGCAGTGGTTAGGAATGCACGTCATGGAAGAGGAAGCCCTTGAAAAGGTGAGATATGAAGGCCGGGCACGGTGGCTTATGCCACTTTGGGAGGCCGAAGCGGGCGGATCACGAGGTCAGGAGTTCAAGACTAGCCTTGCCCACATAGTGAAACCCTGTCTCTACTAAAAATGCAAAATTAGCTGGGCGTGGTGGTGGGCACCTGTAATCCCAGCTACTCGGGAGGCTGAGGTAGGAGAATTGCTTGAACCCGGAAGGTAGAGGTTGCAGTGAGCTGCAATTGCGCCACTGCACTCCAGCCTGGGTGACAGAGTGAGACTCTGTCTCAAAAAAAAATAAATAAATAAAAAATGAGATTTGAAGCATGAGCGGGACTGGCCTTCTGACACACTCCTGTTTCAAGAGCTACCCTTCAATTTTGTGGTCACTTTCCAAGGGGTTAGGGCTGGATTTAAATACAGACTTTAAAACATACACACTTACGCACACACACAATCACAGCACCTGCACCTATCCTGTGGTGAACACACACACACTCTTGTATCAGAGTGCTCTCTGGTCTGCAGTCATTTTATAGTTTAATCACCAGACTGAGTTATTTCACTTCTGGAAAAAGTAATTTATATCCACTCTTTTACTGCCAAGAAACTGAATTTGACTCCACTGACAAAGAACATCTCTAGTATGATGGCCACGACTGGGGCCCCTGGCTGAGACCATACCATATTCTCTGATGTTAGCCTGGTCACTTCAAGACGGATGCTTTCATTGATGTCATTTTCTTCTCTGAATAACTTCTGCAGGTGGTTGATTTCTTGACTTAGATGCACCACTTTGAAATTCAAAGCTTCAATCTCCTTTTCGTAGCACTCCTTCTGAGACTGGAAATGGCTCTCCAAAACACTATTAAAGGAAGGGTCAGGAAATAAACTGCATGGCCTTTATTCTGCTGTATGGACGGCTAGGAGGCAGTTATGGAGACCCACAAGAGCCATGCACGAAGTACATCAAGTTTACCTATGCACTCACGGTTACAGGCTACAGAATCAGGAATGCCTAATTATAAAATCTTCTAGCTAGTTAGGAAGCATTATGTGGGGGTTAACATGTAGTTAACAATGAAGAAAATTTTAGAGGTTATTGTATTTTTACACTCTTAATAGTTAAAAAATTTTGGCCAGACGCACTGGCTCACACCTGTAATCCCAACACTTTGGGAGGCCGAGGTGGGTGGATCACTTGAGGTCAGGAGTTTGAGACCAGCCTAGACAACATGATGAAACCCCGTCTCTACTAAAAATACAAAAATTAGCCGGGTGTGGTAGCGCATGCCTGTAGTTCCAGCTACTCAGGAGGCTGAGGCACGAAAATCGCTTGAAACCCGGAGGTGGAGGTTGCGGTGAGCCGAGATCTTGCCACTGCACTCCAGCCTGGGCAACAGAGTGAGACTCCACCTCAAAAACAAAACAAAACATGTTCTGTATGATACTACAGTTGTGGATACGAATCATTATACATTTGTCAAAACCTACAGAATGTACACCAAGAGTGAACTCTAATGTAAACCATAGACTTTGGGTGACAGTGGCGTGTCAGTGTTGGTTCATCAGTCATAGTAAACACACCACTGCGGTCTGGGAAGCTGATAGTGGAGGAGGCTGTGTGCGTGTGCTGATGGGTATATGGGAACTCTCTGTATTTCTGCTCAACTTTGATGTGAACCTAAAACTGCTGTAAAAAATAAAATTTATTAATTTAAATACATGCAACACATGCCTTAAATTTAAACGTATCTACATATCTCTGGCAACACTAACTAACTTATTTGATAATCAGTTTTCACTGTATGGGTTATGGGGTTTTTTACTAGGCATTTTATCCCATGAAGAGATTGCTCTTCATGAATAAGCTAATTACTTCTCAGAGAAATATTTCTAGCGGTTATTTGGTCATTCTACTATAAGGAATTTGTGTATCAATCTATGTAAGGTACACTTTGGACTTTCCAATAGTCTATTTATTATCTCTGAAAAATAAAGAAAAACCCTGAGGAGAATTTCTAACCGTGTTGCTTTCTTCAGTCCTTCATAAGCAAACCAAAGTTCTCCATCCTCATTTAAATGTTCCAAATCTTCCATAGAGAGCCTGCAAAATAAGGAAGATAAGACAATCTATCATCTCTCTCACGTTTTACATGTCTTAAAATGTTTGATAATGCAAAAATGATTACCTGCTTCTTACATCTTCAATGTCATAGCTTTCGAGAAGTTGTTTGGTGATCTCTGACATCTTTTCTGAAAGGAAAAGGCAGAGTTGTATACATTACATTTGTGGACGATTTATCTTTTCCCATTCCCTTTCCAGGGCCCAGTTTTCTAGCTTCACAGTCTCCAGCTAAATAACTCACCAGCTATCCAATCAGCCAACTAACCAATCTTCCAGGTATTCAACCAACTAGCTATTCAGCCTACCAACTAAGCAATCTACCATATGTCCAACCAAATTCATACCAAAGGACACGTTTCCTTAGCATTGACACAGCTATGATAAATTCAGTCTACACCCATGGACTAAGAGACTCATGTTTTTATTACCTCTCATTTCCCGTTTTTGTGACTGCACATGTTTCTCCACATCTATCTTCTGTGCCTGAAGTAGCTGTATCTCTTTTTCGAACTCAGAGATTGTCTGAATCACAGCAACGATGAAATCAGGTAAAGAAAAAAACAGTGATTATGCTTTATATGAGACAAAGGGAACACAATTACGGCGTCGCCTGTCTACGCAAGACATCCTCACTGCAGTTTCTTTCTTAGCTAAGATCTTGTTAAACCATCACTGCCCACACAGCTTGGCCTTGAGGCATGCTTAACTACTCAACATGCCAGACCTACTGGGTTGTTTCAGTAGAATTAACTTCCCTGGGCCGGGCGCAGTGGCTCACACCTGTAATCCCAGCACTTTGGGAGGCTGAGACAGGTGGATCACCTGAGGTCAGCAGTTTGAGACCAGCCTGACCAACACGGTAAAACCCTGTCTCTACTAAAAATACAAAAATTAGCCAGGCGTGGTGGCAGATGCCTGTAATCCCAGCTACTTGGGAGGCTGAGGCACGAGAATTGCTTGAACCTGGGAGGTGGGGTTGCAGTGAGTCAAGATGCTGCCATTGCACTCCAGCCTGGGTGACAAGAGCAAAACTCTGTCTCAAAAAAACCCCAAAAAACAAAAATCAAAAACCCAGAGTAATTTTTTTTTTTTTTTGAGACGGAGTCTTGCTCTGTCACCCAGGCTGGAGTCCAGTGGTGTGATCTCAGCTCACTGCAACCTCCACCTCCCAGGTTCAAGCGATTCTCCTGCTTCAGCCTTCTGAGTATCTGGGACTACAGGCACGTGCCACCTTGCCTGGCTAATTTTTTTTTTTTTTTTTGGTATTTCTAGTAGAGACGGGGTTTCACCGTGTTGGCCAGGATGGTCTCCATCTCCTTACCTCGTGATCTGCCCACCTTGGCCTCCCAAAGTGCTGGGATTACAGGCGTGAGCCACCACGCCCGGCCCAGAGTAATCTTAAGAGATCACACTGGAGAGTTACCCAGTCTTAGCTACCAAAGAGAAAGTGAGTGACACCTACTGGTACCTCTCTGCAAGCGCAGTCTCACAATTTCCTACATTTAAGATACAGACCTCAGACTTCAGCCAGATGACAGGACTCCCACAGACTAAACTGACATCAGGCTCATGTGGCTGCAGAGTGAAGCAGTCACAGGAATGAAAGTGACCCTTCCTGATCATGTGGTCAGACCTCCTACTTTTAAACAATAGGGGACGGGGCCCAGAGAAGACACATACTTCAGCTATGGAATTCAGTGTCCCGGATGCAACTCCAAAAGCTCTTCTAAACCACACATGGCTAGTTCATGACAATTACAAAGAATATTTGCATAATCCTACTCTGATAATATGTATTTCACATATTTAGTAGAAGCTTAAAAGCTTTCCAACTTAATGATGAAATGTCTTATATTTAAGAACATAGGTACACTCAGGTTTAAGTTTTCTGGTAGGGAAACAATTCACTTAAGCCTTGATTGTCCAAGCATGGATCACTACTTCATCCATTCATTCATTTTTCTCAAGAGCTTTTTATTAAATTGCCCAGGAATATTCATATATTTTTAATGATAAATACAGGTAATGATATTTTTATGTATGATTATGCAGTTTTAAAAATTCTGTGTGATTTTTCCCTCTCAGGTTTATAAAAATTTACTTAAAAATTTCTACCGTTGACAATTTACAGCTTTATTGATGTTATAATTTATGAATATAATGTGCAATAATTCAGCTGATTAACATGTTATTACCTCAAATACTTGTCATTTTTTGTGGTGAGAACATTTAAGATTTATTCATAGCAATTTTGAATGTACAATATGCTCTTATTAACTACATTCACCACACTCTGCATTGGATAATTGTTTTTGTAAATTTTCTAGTAATGGTTTAAATGAAATATTTTGATAATAAAGTAACTTAACTTTAATGCAGATGTTTATAGATTTATAGTGATGGATTATATAATAAGGATTCACCTCAATTTGCAGTCTAATTTGGAAGTATTCTCTACATCAACATATTTAAATAACTTTACATAAATGTAATTTCAAAAAAGTTAGAAAGTTGACTTTTAAAATATGGAATACAATGATTGCTAAATCAAAGGCAGCCTGGAGGTTCACAGTTGGAAGGACTGAAGGAATCAGGCTCTATTTGCCTGTGGCCTTTACACAGATGCTTTTAGCTGTCTAATCTGTGGGAACTTGGAATTGCAATCAAATGACTTAACCAGAGGGCAGGGCTGAACGTGAGAGCAGCTCTACCTTGGCCTGCTTGCTCAGGCGGGCCACTTCTGCCTTCAAGCCATCAGAAGTGACGTGCTCCTCCTCTACCAGCTGTTGGAGTTGCGTCTTCTCATCCTTGAGAGCTTTAATTTCTTCTTTCAAAGACTGAATCTGCTTCTCATAGTCTTGTGTTTTCAGTTCAAAACTTTTTTCAAGAAGCCTAGGAAGCAAAAGAAGAAAATAATTTAGAGCTGAGTGTGGTGGCTCAAACCTGTAATCCCAGCACTTTGGGAAGCCAAGGCAGGCGGATCCCTTGAGCCCAGGAGTTCGAGACCAGCCTGGGCAACAAGAGAGACCCCCCCGTCTCCACTAAAAATACAAAAATTAGCCAGGTGTGGTGGCGCACGCTGTAGTCCCAGATACCCAGGAGGCTGAGGTGGGTGAATCGCTTGAGCCCAGGAGGTCCAGGCTGCAGTGAGCTGAGATCGTGCCACTGCACTTCAACCTAGGTGACACAGCGAGACCCTCCCCACAACTCCCCCCACCCCCCCAAAAAAAGAAGAAAATAATTTAGAATTGTCTCTAGTCTTTACTTTGAATTAGAATACATCGTTTTGAAAACAACAAGAGGAAACAAGTTAATTAGGACCTACTGTGACAGTTCCAGCAGATAATGGCCTTATTTTTAGCAAACTGTTTCCTCTTCCCTTAGGTTAAAGGCAACTTCTTACACCTCCTGATCCGAAAGGTGTAGCTTTACAATGGTCATGCACAGGGGACACTGGATAGGGAGCCTGAACTTAAAATACACACTGGTTGTTGGGACACTGTATTCCCAATCCCTCGGGGTTCCATGCAGTCCCCTGGAAGGGCCATTTTCCCTCAGAGAATACCTTGGCGTGCTCTGCCAAGTCCTGGCTCCTTCCTCGTTCCAAGGATCCTGCTGGGAGTTTGTTTGATCCTAAACAATAGAGCTATCTGATATGTCCAGGGGTCTAGCCCTTCAAAAATTCTGGAATAAACGGCAGCTAATCCAGGTGCCCAAAAGTGCATGTAAATCCAACTGCTCTAGAAGGTTGCTCAATTAAAAATTTGATGATTAACTAAGAAAATAATTGAAAAGAGATACATAACCAACACAGCCCACAGGGGCCCTGAAGCGGTGCCAGAAGCTCTATGAGTTTATTAAATCATTCTACTTGCTGAGCTGTCATCTCAGTTCCTTTTATAACTCGCTTTTATAGCACAAAGGGAAAAACTCTGAGAAAGAGAGCCACATTCCCAATAAATTTGTTTGATTTCTTTTTTATAGATTTTATTTATTTATTTATTTACTTTTGAGACGGAGTTTTCTCTTACCCAGGCTGGAGTGAAGTGGCGTGACCTCAGCTCACTGCAACCTCCGCCCCCCGGGTTCGAGTGATTCTCCTGCCTCAGCCTCCCGAGTAGCTGGGATTATAAGGTGCCCATCACTACACCCAGCTAATGTTTGTATTTTTAGTAGAGACGGGGTTTTGCCATGTTGGCCAGGCTGGTCTCAAAATCCTGACCTCAGGTGATCCGCGCCTGCCGTGGCCTCCCAAAGTGCTGGGATTACAGGCATGAGCCACTGCACATAGCCTCTTTTTTCTATAGATATTAACAAACTTTGTTTCCAGGTTTTTAAAAAAACTGCAGTGCTCCCAAGAGGCCAGTAAAATGCCTTTGAAAAAGAAAACTGCAACCAGAAGTCTTCCTTTTTTTTTTTTTTTGGAGACAAGGTCTCATTCTGTCACCCAGGTTGGAGTGCAGTGGCGCGATCTCAGCTCACTGCAACCTCCGCCTCCCGGGTTCAAGCAATTCTCCTGCCTCAGCCTCCCGCATAGCTGGGATTACAGGCATCTGCCACCACGCCTGGCTAATTTTTGTATTTTTAGTAGAGACGGGGTTTCACCACACTGGCCAGGCTGGTCTCAAACTCCTGATCTCAGGTGATCTGTCCACCTCGGCCTCCCAAAGTGCTGGGATTACAGGCATGAGCCACTACACTTGGCCCAGAAGTCTTATGTGAAAAGAATCTTAGACCCACAGACGGAGCTGGTCAGGAGGGTGCCCACAGACTGCAGGCCTCTTGGAGCCTCCTGAGAATTGTGACAGGGGCCAGGAATTCCCCACTTGGCTGACCAAGGGCTAAACCAAGCTACAGACGAGTGCTAACGAGGAGGCAGAACACAGGCCTAGAGACGGTGAAGAGTTTTACTCCCTTCACTGGCCTGCCTTGGCCTGACCCAGTTAGGACTGCAAACAGCCCACAGTGACCCGGCCTCAGCCTGGCTCTCCCAACCCCCAGCTTGAAATGATCACTCCCAAGTGGTCCCTGCACGTGGACAGATGCCAAGAGCCGAGCTCTTCTCCTCACATGAAACACTCATCGACAATTGTATTTTTCTAGGTAAATGAGTTAATTAGACATATTTAAAAACTGATGGAGGATCATGAAACACTTCATATATCTGTTAACTCCTGGAGCGATTCTGGGATATTCCCTCCTTTCTTCAGAATCCTACTTCCTCACGCAGACCCAGGCTGTCCTGCTCACTGCTTGGGAAAGGTTTGTATCCTACCACCACAGGCAGACCTGAGCTTTCTAGACCCCAAAAGAGATGTGCCAAGAATGTTCTATCTCTTTCCAGCACCCTGTCATGCACCCCAACTTTGAGATCTAAAAACCTTTGACTACTTAAGAGGAGGGAAGCCCAGATTGGAGTCCTTGGAGATTAGCAAAGGGTTTGCTATTGAGATGGGAAAGGTGGGCTGGTACAGTACAAGGTCAGGCACCTGCCTTAATTTCTGTGAGGTATGTTATTTACCTTATCTCTTGGGATAAAAGACAAACTAACAAGTACAGTAGGTGGGGAAGGAAGAGAGGGAGGTTTATTTCCCAGGCAAGAATCTTAATGCTTGGATTTGGTGGAAGTTGAAGGTGGTGGTAGTCTCTGAATTTTGCACTGTCTTAGCAATAAAGTAAAAGAAAGAAAGAGAAAAGAAAAGGAGGAGAGGAAGGAAAGGAAGGAAGGAAGGAAAGGAAGGAAGGGAGGGAGGGAAAGAAAGAAAAAGAGAGAGAGAAAGGGAGGGAGGGAGGGAGGGAGGGAGGGAGGAAGGAAGGAAGGAAGGAAGGAAGGAAGGAGAGAGAGAAAGAGAAAGAAAGTAATTAGTTCCTGGTGGTCCACTGTACCCACCCAGCAGAAGCTTTATGGACTACTCTAGAATGTGTTCAGTATCTGATAGCACACATTGTGGAACTTAGCTCTCATAAATCTCTAATCTCACTTCCTAAAAATAGTCACACCCCACTTTCTTGTATCTGTGATCTCCTATATGCAAACTGAGATGGAAAATATAAAACAGCACAGAGAGAAAAAAGAAAGTAGCTTTAAGGCAAACTAGATTCCATACATTCTTTGCCGTTCTTCCTTTTGTACATCATCAAAGAGCTGCTTGGTGAGGTTGTCCATTTTTTCTGTAAAAAGAGAATGCTTTTTGAGATATGTCTGCCAAATCGATGCCTTGATTGTTTCATGTTTCAGAAAGTGAGAATATCAGGACAATCATGTGATGTTTATTATTAACAGGACTTACAGTGAGAGCATAGGTCATTTTTTATAAATAAGAAATACAGATGAGGGGGTTTCAAAATAATTCTCACAAATTTGTCAGGTTGGAATTATTAATAAATAGTTTCATTTATAGTACTTTTATTGGTCTGTTATTTATTAAAATAGATATATTGGCTTTGAGACAATGAATATCATTAAAAATAAATAGAAACCATTTGGGAAGAAAATGATCCATTTGTGACAAGGTTTCTCAGTCTTGGCATTATTGCTACTATGGGCTGGATAATTCTTTGCTGTGGAGAGGGGGCTGCCCCTCCCTGGCTTCTACCCTCTAGAAGCCAGTAGCACCTCTGCTCCAGTTGTGACAACCCAAATTGGTTCCAGACATTGCCAAATGTCTGGGGGTGAGGCGGCAGCAAAGCTGAGAACCACTCATCTGTGATAACCAAGAAAATAATTAAATGTCTGGGAAAGAGGAAGTACAAAAAGGCAGCTGTTAACACTGAAATACAAGAGTTGCAAACACAAAGTCTGCAGGTCAAGGGGCAGGACGTTCCATGGCTGTGACAACCCCACATTCCCAACACACCCATATGCCACGGGGATCATCAAAATGGGAGAAAGGCAATGCAGCCCCTCAAACGGCGATGTTCCTGTTTGCACTGAGCTGACATCTCATCCTTGAGCTCTCCCTCACCTCTGAGGCCCGCCCCAGAAGGAGTCCTCGGGGTGCAGTGTCGATAGCGATTCTCCAAATTACTTTTTTTTTTTAAGCCAACGGTTTAATAGTTTGTGTAACGTAGTGCCAAATGTTTCTGAATCAAAGTGACTGCTTCAGAACGTTGTGAGGCAGCCAGGAAATACTGGGGGAAATGCTCAAGCTTTAATTTAGAAGCCAACACGTGTGATACAACTTCAATTTTCAATGAACCAGAAGCACCGGCTTTAATTCTAGTGCTTACCATCTTGGGCCATGTGCAGATGGGCTAAAGAAGCTGCTCGAATGTGATTTACTTCTCAAGGGGAACGGGATGATGTCCATGTTAAGTCAGAATCTCAAAAAGGGGAAACAGCGTTTGACAGCATCCCTGGGTCTTAGGTCACAAGCATAGGTAAAGGTTGGTGCTGTTCACAAAACACTGGTTGCCAGGAGCGGGGGAGGTGCACAGGATAAGCAGTTTATAAATATTACGTGGAAAGTTTTCATGGACTTTTTGGAAGAGGATATAAAATTACCCAAACATGACATGGTCTCAGAAACATAATTTTCAGGTTATATTCCTGAGAATTTAAATGCCCTTGTGGGAAATTCTACTTGAAATTACGGGGAAAAAAACCCACAACCACCACCCAAGAGTTGTGTGCTGTAATAAAAAGGGTGGAGATGGGGAAACCCTTTCCTAACTCAGGTTCAAGGTTTACTCCCGGACCTCTGACATGCTCCTGTTCATCTCTGACATTCGCATGGCTCCGGTGCCCACACCATCAGCCTTACAGAGACGGGGTGGAGGGCACACACTACCTGGTACAGGAGGGCACAGCCTGCTGCTCATCAGCACCTGCACCGCCTTTCCTGCCCCAGTGCCCTGGTGTCAGGTTGTTTACTCCCTCTTCACCGACATTCGCTCCTCCCACTCTCTGCTCTGAACTCCCAGAGCTCTGCACTCCTCTGGCTCCCATGGTATCCACCATCTGCTGGGCCGGAGGTGTGTGTAGAATCCCCAGGCCTGAACCCTGGTGTTCCTGCTGCCCCCACGTTGGAGCTTAAGGAAGAGATCCCTAGGCAAGATCACTGACAGTGGTGATTTAAACTATCTGGTCAGGGACCGCCAGGCTCTGTTGCCTGTTGCCTTTTCTGGGATACAGCAAGCAAGTATTGTGAAGTTGAATTTGAGCTGAAAATCTCAAATGTATAGAGCTAGGCTAAGCATAGCTGTTCCACACCCCTAAAGGAAGTGATACCTACTGGTTCCAGGGTCTGCCCTCCACTCAGTAGCAGAGGACATGGGTATCACTTAGGCTAAGTAACTCTGACAGATCTGAATTTTTCCTGCAAATCTTTGGTGAGCACCAAACATGCCCGCAGCATTACTCTGACTGCACATCAGGATTACCATAAAGGTTTTCTAAAATTAGACGTCTGAACCACCTCTGACACCACTACACACCCATGCACACACACAGACACACACACACCCATTTCCCGATGCAAAAGCTCCGGGCTCGTGGTCCGACCATCTGCACTTTGCAAAGGGCCCAGGAAGTTCTGAGGCACAGAGAGGAATTGCTGTGCTGTCTGACAAAAGACGGAAATAAAACAGACGAATCTGTAAGGCAAAGTTACCACGACTTAAATATGGCTATTCCTTGGGAGCAAAACTTGTCTCACTAAACTAAGTGTACACCAGAGACCCCTGGTTCTAAAACTGGTCACCCCACTACTGTTTACTGAGTGACTAAATCAGTGAATGTCTGGATTTGTGCCCCCCGAGCTTTACCTTTCAACTCTTCAGTCTTCTCTTGAAGCTTCAGCTGTATTTGGTCTTTCTGTGTTTCCAGTTCTGAATTATGCTTCTGAAGCTTTGCCAACTTCTAGCAGAGGGAAGGGGGAAAAACAAACTTTTTTGAAAACCTCACTTCAAGCTGTCACCATTGCCTTTCTTGGCAAAAAGATGCATATTCTTAAATTAGCTTATTTTTTCTCAGCTCCTGTCCATAGATAATAGCTAGCACCAGCCCACTGTAAGACGCTGCCATTAGTTTCACATGGAAGGGCTCAACATGACTTCAAAGGTCACACTATTCCCGACCTGGCCAGCAAGGGCTGAAACAAGGAAAAAGGACACATCCAAGACCTCCTCAATGTCAGGGACATACCTCTTCCTTTTGCCGAGCTTCTCAATAGCCAGGAGACTTTATATATCGAATATGCTATGATTACGCAGTTATTGGCGTAAAGGGATTCACACTTTGCAATTGTTATGACTCAGGAAGGATGTGTGAACGCAGCAGAACTCCTATCATTTTGGCTTCTCCTGGTAAAGTGTCTGCTGGGCTGGCAGCAGGCCCGTGGTGCTGACTGATGGTGACTGGCAGCTGGCGATGCCCACGGCAGCAGTGTTGGTGCACCCAGTACCAGGGCATGGGGAGGGCAAAGGGATGTCTTCTGGGCCTCCAATCCACCAACCCTGGGTGCTAGGACTTTGAAAATGCAGCAGAGGCCAGGTGCAGTGGCTCACACCTGTAATCCCTGCACTTTGGGAGGTCAAGCGGGGGTGGATCACTGGAGGTCAGGAGTTCGAGACCAGCCTGGCCAACATGGTGAAACCCCACCTCTATTAAAAATACAAAAAAATTAGCCGGGCGTTGTGGTGTGTGCCTGTAATCCCAGCTACTCCTCAGGAGGCTGAGGAAAGAGAATTGCTTGAACCCGGGAGGCGGAGGTTGCAGTGGGCCGCAATCGTGCCACTACACTGCACTCCAGCCTGGGCGACAGAGCAAGATTCCGTCTAAAAAAAAAAAAAAAAAACACAAAAAAAAACCCCAAAATGCAGCAGACTGCATGGTAATAAAGATCACCTTAGAACACACTAGCTCACACTTTTGCAGGGACTCACCACAGCCATTTGGCTAACTTATTTCATCTGACCATTTTATTCTCACAAAATTCTGTCAATCCCTTCTTGTTATTCTCATTTTATATAGGAGGAAACTAAAATTCATTATGGCAGGCATTTGGCTAAAGTATTTCATCTGATGATTTTATTCCCACAACAATTCTATCAGTCCTTTTTTGTTATTCTCATTTTTTTATATGAGGAAACTAAAATTCAGAGAGCGTAAGGGACTTTAGCCAAGGCTGCCCAGCCAGACAAAGGCAAGATTTGAATCTAGGGCATCTGGTTTTTATGCTGACTGCTGTCTTCACTACACCAGAGATGAAAACCCTACCCTAGCTTCGCATCGCTGTTCAGGGGAAGATGTTTCCAGGGCATAGACCTTAAGGACAAGTGAGAGGAGACCAAGGTCATCCTGGAAGAAAGGGAAGCAGTCAGCCAGGGCTCTTTGGGCCTATCACCACTTTGCAAAACTCGAAAGAGAAAACCTATGTTGCATTTCTCTCTTTATTAACCTCCTCCCTTCCCCTAGACTCTAATCCTCTGATCTCGCTCTTCCTAAAAGGTAGGCTGCCTTTGGGAATGGAAGTTGATAGCAAAATCTGATTTGCTCTGCAGAAATCCACTTCATAGGAAAAGCCTGCAGCGCCCATCTTTTCCTCAGAGTCCACGTGTTTCCATCCCGTCTCACACGCCCGCAGCTGACCTCCTCCACAGCACCCCTGTATCTCTTCCCTTTCTCCTCATAACTTCGCCTGTGGGCGGCTGCTCTTTCTAGTTCTGCTTCCAGCTTCTGAATCTTTTCCACATCCCCGGCTCGAAGAGCAGCCAGGCTGGTCAGCTTCTCTACCAGCCCGTGGTTTTCTTTGTTCTAGAGAAAAGAAAATTCAGATGTTTAGAGGTTTATTCAAACAAAGACACTGTTCCATTTAATTCTCATAGCCTTTGACATGGCATCCAAATTTGAGAGGTTGCTTTACGCTGATCACACTTATCACTGCACTGACATTTGTTAGCATCTTCTCTGTGGTGAAACAGTATGGCAGATCTTGCTGGGTCCGTGTCTTCCCAAACTGGTGGCTATTTTAATGTGAGAAGTTTCCAATTCTGGCGAACCAGGACAACCTTAGCGTTACAGGCTGAACTGTGCACCCCAAAATTCATTTGTTGAAGTCTTAACCCCTGAACTTAGGAATATCGCTGTTTTGAAGACAGGGTCTTTAGAGAGGGAATTAAGGTAAAACCAGCCCTCAGGGTGAGCCCTAGTCCAATATGATTGGTGTCCTTAGAAGAAAAGGGGATTAAGACACAGACACAGGCATGGAGAGAAGATCATGTGAAGACAGACAGAGGTGGCAGCCATCTACAAGCTAAGGAGAGACGCCGCAGAAGAAACCAACCCTGCCAAAACCTTGATATGGGACCTCCAGCCTCCAAAACTGTAAGACAGTAAATTTCTGTTGTTTAAGCCATCCAGTCAATGATACTTGGCTATGACAGTCCTAGCAAACGAACACACCTAGGACAGAGCTCAGGCAGCATCGGTACTCCCCCCAGGCATTGCTCCTGGCCAGCTGCAGCTATTTTTAAGTGTTATTCTGCACAAGCTGTGTAGCATGCAGGCCTGTTACACAACAGCACACTGAGGGAAACCCCATCAGACGCCAAATCTATTTGTTCACCCACGTACCCTTTCATTCAGGACCCCTGTGGTACAGCTTAGGGCTAAGTTTAAAGCTCACCTTAGGAGAGCCTCAGGATTAGTGGAGACAGGCCTGCGAATGAGTTTTACGGATCTGGACACTGTGTGTTCCATAGCATACGGATGTTTCTTCTCTTTTTTGTTTGCTTTTTGAGCCGGAGTCTCACTCTCTGTTGCCCAGGTTGGAGTGCAGTGGCACAATCTCGGCTCACTGCAAGCTCCACCTCCCGGGTTCACGCCATTCTCCTGCCTCAGCCTCCTAAGTAGCTGGGACTGCAGGCGCCCGCCACCATGCCCGGCTAACTTTTTGTATTTTTAGTAGAGACAGGGTTTAACCGTGTTAGCCAGGATGGTCTCGATCTTCTGACCTCGTGATCCACCCGCCTCAGCCTCCCAAAGTGCTGGGATTACAGGCGTGAGCCACCGCGCCCGGCTGGATGTTTCTTTTGTTTTTTTTTTGAGACGGAGTTTTGCTCTTGTTGCCCAGGCTGGAGTGCAGTGGTGCCATCTTGGCTCACCGCAACCTCTGCCTCCTGGGTTCAAGTGATTCTCCTGCCTCAGCCTCCCGAGTAGCTGGGATTACAGGCACGCACCCCCACACCTGGCTAGTTTTATATTTTTAGTAGAGATGGGATTTCACAATGTTGGTCAGGCTGGTCTCAAAGTCCTGACCTCAGGCAATGTGCCCACCCCCCCATGGCCTCCCAAAGTGCTGGGATTACAGGCATGAGCCAACACGCCTGGCCTTGGATGTTTCTTTTCATACCAGTGAGAATGGTATGGGGAATCTTCCCAAACTAGGCAGGGCGGCAGCTAGACTCTAAGGCACCTGTGGGAAAATGAGAAATGGCAGCTCCTCTGAGCTGATGTCATCCCAAGGCAGCACGCTTGGCATGCAGACAGCATCTTTGAGCAAATGAGGAGGTACCTTTGCCTCAAGGCAACACAGCTTCACACAGGGACACCTGCCTTGGCAAGTGGAGCCAGGCTGGACTCAGCCCCACCTGCCCTCTGAGGTAGGCACATTTGTGTAGTATATAACCTACACCACCACAGGCCGCAGCCCTTTACAGTGTACCTCTGTTTCCTAGCTCAGGTGGTCCACGTAAACTGAACCTCCTCACATGGGCATACATTTTAATAGCACAGCTAAGGAACTGCTCCAGAACAAACTACAGCCATGTAAGAAAAAGTAAATGTAAAAGATGCACTATGAGCACCTACCTGATCTTCCAGTTTTTTCTGCAAACGCTGGACCCTGTAAGTAAGCTGAATATTGAGCACAAATCGTCGGATACTCTGGAATCTGCGTCTGGCCAGCCACGCCCGTGCGTATTTCTGCAGGATCACAGCCTTGTGTTCCTCCAGCATCTTTAAAACAAGGTTTTGTGAAATATAAACTGGACCCCAACTGCTTCTCTAAAACAGTCTTACTATTGTTGGTAAAAAATGGTATGAGAAATCCGTGTCCCAGGAAATTGGTCTCTGCCATAACTTTCTTTTTTTCTTTTCTTTTTTCTTTTTTGGAGAGACTAGTTATTTCAAAAAGATACTTGTCATATTCCGCATCAAAACAGTTGCATTAGGGCTGGGTTTATGGCTCACACCTGTAATCCCAGTGCTTTGGGAGGCCCAGGAGGGAAGATCACTTGAGGCCAGGAGTTCAAGACCAGCCTAGGCAACATAGCAATACCTTATCTCTACAAAAAAATTTTAAAAATTAGCCAGGTGTAGTGGCATGTACCTGTAGTCCTAGCTACTCAGGAGGCTGAGGCATGAGGATCCCTTTAGCCCAGGAGCTCAGGACTAGCCTTGGCAACACAGACAGACTCATTCTCTACCAACAAAAAAAAAAAAAAAAGAAAGAAAAATTAGCTGGGCACGGTGGCTCATGCCTGTGGTCCCAGCTACTCAGGAGGCCGAGATGGGAGGATTGCTTGAGCCTGGGAGGCTGAGGCTGCAGTGAGCCATGATTGTGCCACTGCACTCCAGCCTGAGCAATAGAGTGAGACTTGTCTCAAAAATACTTTTTTTTTTTTAAAAAAAAAGGTGATTCCAGGAGTTAGCCAGAAAGAAACCCCCAAAATATACTGTTCAGGTTTTCAGCTTTAAAGTGTCTTTGGACAACTTTATTTTTTCATCAGAAGTGACCAAATTAAGACTGTGAAATCTCTGAGACCAAACTTTTGTCCTATCTCAACCCCTTTCCCATCCACTCAAAGGATGGATCATGTACCCCTTATGTTGAAGTGAACACTTATTGCTCTCCTGCCTCCTTGAAAGAAAGAAAATTACGTTTTTGCCATATGAAACTCATCTCATCACCCTTTTCTGGGTCTAAAGCTGCTGCCTCTAAAAAAGCCATCTCATTGTGCTTTGTATTAGTGCTAGAGAAATCTTGAATAGCGTATGTGGAAAACTTGTTCAATTTTATATTACTTTGAATTTGTCTCTTTGGAGTTGGGTACCCTGGCCATCTCATCTGGCTGTGAGAGCTCTCTACAGTCTGTGGGGTGGCAGTGTGCTGATTTTTTTTTTGTTTGTTTTTTGAGACGGAGTCTCGCTCTGTCGCCCAGGCTGGAGTGCAGTGGCACGATCTTGGTTCACTGCAAGCTCCGCCTCCCGGGTTCACGCCATTGTCCTGCCTCAGCCTCCTGAGTAGCTGGGACTACAGGCACCCGCCACCACGCCCGGCTAATTTTTTGTATTTTTAGTAGAGATGGGGTTTCACCGTGTTAGCCAGGATGGTCTCGATCTCCTGACCTTGTGATCCGCTCGCCTCGGCCTTCCGAAGTGCTGGGATTTACAGGCATGAGCCACCGCGCCCGGCCAGCGTGCTGATCTTTTAAAGTTTCTTTCCCCACCCAGTCTCTGCTTTAGGTGAGGTCTGTTAGGTGCACATTATTGGCTTAAAATGTACTTTCCTTTGGTGTGGTCTCTTTGGGGCCAATTGGGAGAAAGAGAAACCAACAGTGCAACTGGTGTGTGTGTGTCCGTGTGTGTGTGTGTGTGTGTGTGTGTGTGAGAGAGAGAGAGAGACCGGGTCTCCCTCTGTTGCCCACGCAGGCTGCAGTGTACTGGCATGATCATAGCTCACTGCAGCCTCGAACTCCTGGGCTCAAGGAATCCTCCCATTTCAGCTCCCTGATGTCCAGTTGAGACTACAGGCCTGAGCCACAGCACCTGGGAGAATCTCCTTTCTGGCTTGGCTGACACTTTGTACAAAGTGAGGTTGCCCACAGTGGAGTCTTTCCCTGGCCCGTTTTGTTCTCAGTAAGGAAGGCCCGTACACCCTCCCCTCCTCTAGAGAGAGGTGGCCTTACCTTTCGATACCTCCTCCTTGCCAGGAATCCTCGGGTGTAGGCCTGGATGGTGATGGTGGCCACGTGAATCAGCTGATACAGGTTGCGAACAAGATACCCGCGGCAGTGCTTCTGAATGATTATGGCTGCCCAGGCTTCTTTTAAGGCCACTGCAGTAATAGCTTTCCTTGGTTAACAAGGATGAAGAGTGAGTCTGTTATCCACAGAGCATCAACTTCCATCACACAGCTGCAAGCTTGGCTAGCATGTGTTTAGTAAGGAAGGTTCAAATATTTTGCAACTCTCCATATTAAACTCTGTGAGCGGTTTTTTATTCTAATGACTACTTGAGGCCAGTCCCCAGTTCCCTCTCCTTGAAGAACCACATGGGAACTTTCACACGCTTCCCACTCAGGCCAATTGATTCGCCTCCACTCAGGTACCCACAGAGACCACGACGAGACCGTGCACTGGCGCTGCACTTGCTGATTCATGTACTCATTCATTCATGTAAGAAATCGTGCTGGAGGCTCCAGATCAGGGCTGGCGAACGATGGCTACCACCTGTCCTTATCAAGCTTTACTGGAACGCAGCCACATCTATTATTTACATATCACCCATGGCTGCCTTCATGCCTCAGCAGCAGGAAAGACTGCAAGACCCCAACCCCTTAAATAGTGATCATCTGGTCCTTTACAGAAAAAGTTTGCTGCCCCCGTCTAAATGACTAGAGGTGAAGATAATGTTCTTGCCTTTAGAATTGACAACCTCACGTACAGAAAGACTAATAAATGGCCAAGAAAAAAGAAAAATAAAATAACAACTAACTAGATCCGTAAGTGAGAGGGGAAAAAACAGTTATTCTGATTGGGGACAGTTGATATGTGAACCAGCCCCTGATGGAGTAGGATGTCTGTACACAGTGAAGGCTGGAAAAGGCTCCTCAGGATGAGGGACCAGCATGAGTAAAGGCATGGAGGTCCTGCAGTGCCTAAAATATTCAGAAAAGGAGTTTGTTTGGAATCACTAGAATAAGATGGATGAAGAAAATAAGACGTCAATGAAGTTAGAAAAATAGATGGGCACCATTTGTTATTTTAAAAACATATTTGTTGAACACCTTCTATGACAGCCACCATGCTAGGTCCAGGTATGGATGACCAGACAAGTGTGGCCCCTGCCCTCATGGAGCTTCCATTCTTATGAGTGCACCCAGGCTATGGAGGGCTTTGAATATCATGTCAGAGACTGAATGCTATTCTGTAGGAAACAGGGGCCTTAAAGGCAGGTGCAGGGCAGTGGCTTAATCAGGCTCTGATGTAGGAAGATGGGAAGGAGGTGGAGCACGGTGCCATCAGACTACAAGGCAGGTGATGCTGTGAGCTAAACTGGGGGCAGGAGTAGGACAGAATGAATGGGACAGGCAAGAGGCCAGCAGGGCAGGATGATCAGGCCCTGGTGAGCCCCAATTAGGAAGGGAGCATAGCCTTGGCAGGGAAGATAACTGTGGTTTCCTTCCCCAGAGACTGCTGTTATCAACTGGGTCCAGAAGCACAGGAGGGCGAGCCAGCCCAGCCGTGTGTCCATGCCACACCACGCTGGTCATGCAGAGAAGGCCAGAGGCTGCCACTGGTCATCCTCCAGCTCAGGAAGAAGTCAGGCTTGCAGATGCAGCCTGATCCTAAACACCAGCCTTCTCAAGCATCCTCATAGCATCCCAAGGAAGGGGCAGGGCAGGCAGAGAGAAACACACAGTTTATCTAGGGGCACCCTGGTCTCATGCTTTCCAGCAGATACGCCAAAGCCCTGGAAGTCCCAAAATGACCGTGGTCCTTCAGTGGGCTGGCAGGGTCGTGTGGACTCTCAGGACCCCTCAAGCCAGGTGGGATCAGTAAAGCTGGTGGATCGCCCTCCCCTTAGCCCCTGGCTTGGCTGGGGCTGCTGTGGTCTTCCTGCTCAGGGGTTTTGCGATTGGTTTGCTGCCACGCCTTGCCAGGGACCCCCTCTGCCATGGTGCACCCCACCTGTTGCTGGCAGGCTGATTGCTGGCTATTCTTGACATCTGTCCTTTGGATCTTCACTAAGGCCTTGATGGCCTTAGGCATTTTCAGTTCCCACAGGAAAGGGGCCCCGGGCCTCTCCCTGAGCTTCCAGAACCCTGACTCTCCTTAGTAACACTCTCACCAGGGCTTCCTCCCTGCAGGGCCCTGGGTGTCGGCTCACCACATAGACGCCAGGCAGAGCCAGCACTACTGCCCCTGAGAGATGAAACCTTCTTGCCCCAGTGCTCATGACCACCAAGGGGACCCCTGCACGTCTGCACCCTGGGTCACAAGAGAAGGGTCCCTTGTCCTTGATGGGTCTTCCCCCTGGAGATAATCAGCACAGAAAGCCCCACAGTTCCACATGTGTTCCTTGATTCCAACACACCTCACGGTTTGCTGACCCCGGAAGTACCGCTGGATTATCAGGGCGGCTCGTCTCTCCCGGAGGAATTTTTTCCTCTGGAGCCAGCCACGAATGTGCTTTTGTATCACAACACAACTCTGCCTCAGTTTATCCAATCGAAGTTTCTCTAAATAAGCCACTTGTCCTGCTCTGAAGAAAATTTTGGTTTTACCAAACTGGTACTGATTAGAATCCTGGAAGAGAAAAATGATACAGTTAGAATTAAAATCTTTCAGATTTTCTACAGTACAGTATTTGGAAAAGACCTTTAGGGATTCAAAGGTGCCAGAAATATTGTGATTTTGACATTTAAGGCAGAAAAACTCACATCATGATCTAGAAACATATACTTTGAGTTGTTTGTTTAAAGTCACCCTGGAGGGAGAAATGGGACTTAGGGTGAGGAATCCATCTGGGGGTGAGAAGCGGGGTGTCATTTGCGGCGATTCTCAGTTGGGCTGCTGGAGAACCTCACCCGCTCACTCGTGGTCTCTACATCGGAGTAGAAGAAACTCAGGAAGTTTGGTTTTCTGTCTTCATTTTGGGTTCTCTTCAACATCCCTTTTGCTAGACCTTGTAACTTCCCATCTCCTTCCCATCACAACTCATCACTGCAGTGTGGATGTCAATCCACACTGGGCACCATGCCTGGAGCCCACGTGGCTTGGCGACAACCCCAGTTGACCATATCCTATAAGCCTGGTCCACAGAGGACTGGGTTAGATCGTGGGAGAGCAAAGCAGGACACAAGGACACTGGGGAAGCCAGGGTTCGGATGTGGGTCCCTAACAGGGACTCATGGCCCACTGAACGCTCTGCTACAGTCTCCTCAGCAGACAAATGCCCCGGGCACATTTTCTCTCCTCTCAGGTGTTCATGATTACAGTCCTGAGCGTCCGAGACAAAGATAAAACAGCAGGTTTGGGAGACGTGCTTCCAGGAAGGAGACCACGATCGCAGGAGGTGGGGAAACTGACCTGAATGAGTCTGTGTAAAACCGCCTTGCACACCTCCTTTTTATCGCTGAAGGAAAGCTCTTGCTTGGTCATGAGAATGCCGTAGCGACTGTAGAACTCAATGTATGTCCACCTGGAAAATCAAAGGGGACCAAAGCCAGGCGCGTCAGAGGAAGAGCATTGTGTCTGGGGATGCCACTGCCTTACCTGCCACTGTTGTCATAGGGCGGGGGTGGTGGAATCTGTCCTGAGGATAAAGGCACTGATCTTTGATACCCCGCCTGCCTGGGACACTACCAAGACCACCCTGAGCACAACTGTCTGCCCCGGCAATCGTGCTCCTTCTCCCAGTCAGCGTCTTCCCCAGCACACCGGGGAGGCAGCGGGGTCGCCACCAGCCGCTGAGATGCAGTGATGGGGTGAGGAGGTGGTGGCAGCCCCCGTCCCCCACAAAGCCTATTTCTCACCCTCCTCTGAACTTCCACGGGGCAGTGGGAAAATCTTGGGGGCACTTTACAGAAGCCAAAAGTATGTGACAAAAATCATGGCAGCCATGTCCTTGGTTCTCAGTATAGCTCTGAAGTTGGCTACTTCTCCCCCCAAAACAAGGACGGACAACATACCTGGAAGGGTAGCTCTGTGCACTAATGCGAATCGTTTCTAAAACACCGCAGGCTCGCAGCTGCTGAACAATTCTTTTGGAGTCAAATCTTAAAAAAGACAACGTTATCATGTGTTAAGCCAATGTAACTGCTCAACATGCCCATAAGCAGGCACAGCAGACCCGCCTAGACTGTGACCCTGGGCCAGGTACCCAGCAGATACTTAGTACGTTTCTATTGCATGACCAAGAAAAATAGCACCTCTGCAAAACAGTCCAGAAAGGTGCAGTGGGATATAGAGAAAGGAGCAGCTGACTCTGATGGAGGTGGCAGGGAGAAGGCCTTGGGGGAACCGGCCTTTGAGTTGAGCTTCAAACGACAACCAAGTGGAAAGAAATGTGCTAGCTCGCCTGGCCCAAGCACCCACTGATGCTTGAATTTCCTCTACAAAACACCCAACAGGTGGCTCTGCAGCTTAGGTCTCACCCATCTGGTGACCCACGGACACACTCACCACCTCCATAGACAGCTCATCCCCCTTTAGGCACCTCTTTCAGCTCTAGTAAGCTACAAGGGACTCGTTACACCTTATATTCACAGGCATTGGTTCTCCTCCGTGGGGTCCCAGAGAACAAGCATAATGCCTCATGCCATCACGTGTGAGGACAAATCTTCCGACCTTCCACGATCTTCTACAAACACACATACTCATTCTTCTTTTAATCAAGTAACAGGTTCAGGCTCAGTTGCAAAAACTTTAGTTGTAGAAGATTCTTTCAAATCTAGCCCTTTTGTTGAGCCCTGGAGATGAGGGGGTTTAACCAAAGGGGCTGAGCTAACATTTTACGTAAAGGGCAGCATTGTTCTAAATCACTAAAAAAAGCCCAGACACAGGGTAACTCTCAAGACAACTGGAAGCAAATTCTCCAACTTTATGGCAGCAACTGCCTCCCCGCATCTTCACTGTGAGCTGCATAAGAACTTACTCAAAGGGTAACTTCTCATCATTTGGCTTGATGCATCGAACATAGTGGGGCGTTGTCGCATTGAGGGTCTCCATGAGCAAGTACAGAGAGCTGCGGAACTAGGAAACAAAGCTAGAGATCAAATATGGCTCTGAAATAATTTACTGCTTACATCACGCTAAAACACAGCCCAACCTTGTTAAGTTACTCAATAGGAAGAAAAGTTAACCTCACGCATAAACACCTTTTATGAAAGGTTTCAGTCCATGACTGTGGTTTATCAGCATGTCCTACCGTTCTGGACAGAACACTAATACTCCCACACAGCAGAGAACTGAATAAACCATGTTATTATGCAAAAGTGTGGTTCGCTCCAGTGCATGCTGCCTTGGAGGGGGAAATATGACGACGATGAACTTTTTGCAGTGGAGTGCATGTTAGACTGGAAGAGCCCCAGCGTCCATCCATGTCCAGGCCTGGAATGTGGGTCCTCTGAGTGCCCTGGCTCCCCAGGGCCTGACCCTGCCTTTAGAACCCTCACTCTCAGACACCTTCTCAGTACCTTGCTCCCAACCGTGGTCCGGAAATGCTTGCTGTTTGACTTGATGACTTGCTTTGCAGATTTAACTGTAATCATTGAACCAAAAGGAGAAAGAGGAGCTGGATTTTCTTGAAAAAAGTTGGCACAGAGATGAAACTGGAAGGAACAGAGAGGATCTCAATGTCCAAAAGCAACTGTCCACAGTCCTCACTCATACAAGCCACATAAATGGTGACAACAACCCAGCTAAACTAGTGGGCAGTGAACCACCTCACCAATGTCTACAGCCAAATCTCAATTCCACAAGAGGATCGTCTTCCCTAGGGATGGCCCATGGCTTCTTTCCCAGGAATGGGAACAGAGAAGAAAAGCGTGTGAATGTCTGTATGTGGGTATCACTCTAAGCGTCAGAAAGTGGAAACATACTATTCTCACCTCCGTGCCTGGCTCACTCTGTGTCTCCACCTGCAATCTCCTCCCTCCTACTCCACATTCTCATCCCTGCAAATCCAAACCCTACCCATGAATCTCTTAAAATATTTTCCAGCCCCACCCCCTTCACAATGAATGAACGAATCCCAACTTCTCTGAACCGTCTTCATCTTGTATTTGTATCTCTTTAAAAGCACTTACTACCTTCTCCTTTGTATCAGTTATTTCTTTAAATGTCTTATCTTCTCTCAGAGTGAATTTCATATTTTGTTTTGTTTTGAGATAGGGTCTTGCTCTGTTGCCCAGGCTAGAGTGCAGAGGTGCAATCATGGCTCACTGCAGCCTCTACCTCCCAGGGCCAAGCAGTCTTCCCCACCTCAGCCTCCCAAGTACCTGGGACTACAGGCATGTCACCACTCCCTGCTAATGTTCTTTATATTTTTAGAAGAGATGGGGTCTCGCCGTTTTGGCTAGGCTGGTCTCAAACTTCTGGCCTCAAGCAATCCACCCACCTCTGCCTCCCAAAGTGTTGGGATTACAGGCGTGAGTCACCACATGTGGTTGGAATTGTGATTCTTTAATGGTTCTATTAGCTGTCCTTCCTGTCATCTGCATGTTTGATTTCTGATTTTGCATATAGTAGATTTACAGTAGTTATCTTTTTGTAACTGTGAGCTACAAGTTACCACTGGCCAGAGAGTTTACACACACACACACTCTCTCTCTCTGTCTCCTTACTCTTTCCTTATATACATCTCGATCCATGTCAATTACATAACAGTTTTAGTTACCACTAGGACTTTACAGACCTTGCTTGCTCTCAGGATTTCAACCAGCATGTCGTAGACGGTATCTCTGTTTTTCTCCAGGAAGCCTTCACATTTATACTCTACCTATACAGAGGAAGCAATTAATTATTCCCAAAGAGGCCAAAGAATATAGGCTCTAAGCACAAGTTGCATCTCTTTTTAAAGAAAGATTAATAAAAAGGCTATAGAGGCGATCTTACAAAAAGAGGTCTGTTTTCTGTGCGTCACCGCAGCAGCCCCACTATATAAAAGCTGGGAATGTGTCTGCTCTCCTACCACCTGGATCTCTCACCTGCCTGCTGATCACTCTGCACTCACCTGTCAGCTCCCTCTGGCCACAGGGGTCCTGTTGCTCCCTGCGGTATGTGCAGTTCATACAAGAACACCTGACTTAGGTCTCCCTTTGCCTTTGAAGCCACCAGGAGGAGGAAAAAGCTTAGTGGTGTTCACTGGGTTCAAACAGACATCGTTTCCTAAATCAACATTAATGTGGTAGAAAGGATAGAAAAACCGATCAGCTGACCACCGGGCCTTCGAGAGCCGCCAAGCCCTCAGAGTCAGGTTTAGAGTGGGTAAACGTTTGCACTGCTTGAATCTGGCTTAGAAAAACTCTCCATGCTGCCCTTTCTGATGAGTAAGGCTTCTCGAATCCCTCAAACCATGGCATATCCAGGGTGGCTGCTTAAACATTCAACCTCCCTGTAGTTTATGCCTCTGGATTGCATATCTTAATATGTGATAATATATTTTTCATAAATTAAAAACATATTAAAATTAATGTTAAAAATTGACAACGAGGAAACAGGGGAGAGTGCTGGAATCTGGAGGCAGAGGGTTCCTGGGCATGGCCTCTGCTTTGTACCTCAGACAAGGAGGTACTCTTGCCGGTAGGTTAAGATCCAGGAACACCGGCTGTTTGTAAACACTTCTTTGTGAATGAAGTACCTGGATTGTTGTACAAATTCTTCCAGAATGGTGGTGTGAGCCACTAGGACAGACAGGCAAAGGTGGTAAGTATAGAGCTGTCCTGGTCCGGGGGAGCATCTGTGGGGACAGTGTCACAGGCAGCTGGTGCCTCTGCTGGGGACTCTGGGACCAAGGGAAGATGTGCTGAGTTGCCACATCTAAGCTCAGCTGCCTTGCATTCAATATGACCTGATTTTCCTGGCCAATGAGACTGCAAACCTAATCTAACCCCATAGCATGTGTGGGTTCTTCCCACCAATCAATCCACAGTCCGGCCCAAACGCTGCCTAGTTCTTTGAAGGGAGACTTCCCGGAAGTGGCAGGTGAGAGAATTTACATGTACAGAAACTACATCCTATAAAGAGAGACCCCTGAAAGAAATCCCATATGTGCTTTTTATGGAGTCTGGTCTTTCCCTCTCCCTTTTCCCATGGGACCAGAACCCTGAAATTGTAAGACAATAGCTAGAAAATATAATTTAACATATGATCATTCATTTCATAGGCATCTTTTCAGGAGCCCATCTGAAAAAGTCTAAGCACTAAAAACTTAACTTTTTTTTTTTTTTTTTTTTTGAGACAGGGTCTCACTCTGTCCGTCAGGCTGGAGTGCAGTGGCATGATCTCGGCTCAATGCAACCTCCGCCTCCCAGGTTCCAGCAATTTTCCTGCCTCAGTCACCTGAGTAGCTCGGATTACAGGTGCGTGCCACCACGCCTGGCTAATTTTTGTGTTTTTTAGTAGAGACGGGGTTTCGCCATGTTGGCCAGACCGATCTCGAATTTCTGGCCTCAAGCGATTCACTCGCCTCAGCCTCCCAAAGTGCTGGGATTACAGGTGTGAGCCACTGCACCTGGCCAATCCTATATTTTAATATTTTACAGTCCTCTGTGAGCACACAAAGATGATCACAGCTTTCCAGGTTGCTGTCCCCTCCCTCCACCACCAGTCACTCGGGAGTGACCAGCTCTGACTCACAATAAACCAGCCTCTGCAATAAACACAGACAAGCACAAGTCATTCCCGTGAGCCCTGGCACTGGGCTAGGCTACCAAGGCAACACCCAACCAGGACATGGGAGGAGGTAGGAGCTCCCTTAAGGAAGGAAAACAAACAAGAATGTACATTTAGGACAGGTGGTTATGGCAATTTTTTCCTTCTGTTTTCTAAGCTTTCTATAATGAGATTTTAACAAAAATTTTTCATTTCAGACAAGTAACATCTGTTTAGCAGAAAGAAAAAGGAGATATATAAAGAAAAAAAGAGACACAAAAGATGAAAAAAAGCACGAAGATAACCCATCATCATCTTGAATTAACCTATGTTGCCATTGTAATATAGTCCAGTTTAATCATATAGAACTTCAGAAAAAGATATAGCTTTCATTATAGGAAAGAATTATGCTGTCTTGAGTATCACAATTTCATACAGAAAATAAACTGATAAGAGGTTAATGAATTCACAGTAAATTCAAAATCAGAAGTGAGGTTTTCTAACAACACATTCGTCTTTAAAGTAGTACAGTTGAAACTCATGTATGTCATCATAAAAACAGAGCAGGAACTGTTAAACACACACTTATCAAAGCTACATGTTAAGTGTGACTTGAATCTGACCAGAAACATTCCCGGCCTGCCTACTCCTTCTGGAGGCTGTGTGGGTTCTGGGGTCGACGGCATTGCTGGAGACCTGCGCAGTACCTTATCAGCAAAGTGCTGGATGACAAAGGATGTGTTCGACATTCTAGGCTTTTCAAACAAAGGGTTCTTGTTGACAAAATTATTATACAGCTTTTGAAGCCAGTTTTCATCAGTTCCATGTGGTAACTGGAAAATAAAAATAAAGCAACTAGCAAGTAAGAAAACTAGAGATTCATACAGGCGAGGAAAAGCAGTAATTCTAAGAAACCAAGGTGATTTGGCACTTTAGTGAACTGCTCTCAATTACAGGCTTCCTATTTATTTATTTTTGAGATGGAGTCTGGCTCTTCCACCCAGGCTGGAGTGCAACGGCGCCATCTCAGTCCACGGCAACCTCTGCCTCCTGGGTTCAAGTGATTCTCCTGCCTCAGCCTCCCAAGTAGCTGGGATTACAAGTGCCTGCCACCACGCGCGGCTAATTTTTGTATTTTTAGTAGAGACGGGGTTTCACAATGTTGGCCAGGCTGCTCTCCAACTCCTAAACTCAGGTGATCCACCAACCTTGGCCTCCCCAAAGTGCTGGGGTTACAGGCATTAGCCACTGCGCCTGGCCTTAAAGGCTTTTAAAAAAGCAACTTTAGGCATCATTTTGTCCTTGATCTTAATCTTTAGGGCACTTTAAAAATTATTAATTGACAAATAACAATTACATATAGTTGTGGGGTGTTTGAGGTGATATTTAAATGGATACATCAATGTCCCTTTAGAAGAACAAAACTTTAAAAAGAAATCGTCGCACAATGACTTTAGAATGAAGACTTTTATTTCTATAAAATGGGTGGTATTTTATTTCTTCCCAAAGAAGTCTAAAGGTTCAGGAAAAAAATAGTGTGGGTTCCATTACATGAACATGACCTTTATTCATGGGTGAATGGGAAAAGGCTGGCACCTGAATAGACAGTCCTCCCCTGCCCTTGCCTCAGGAAAACAGTTTTTCTTATTTTACTTCCTAATTAACTCACTCCTCGAAATAAGAGCATACTTCCTTGTACTAAGCTAGTTGCAAAATTTGTTCTTGATACACGTGATTTTTTTTTTTTTTTTGAGACGGAAACCCTGTCTCTACTAAAAACACAAAAATTGGCCAGGCACGGTGGCTCACACCTGTAATCCCAGCACTTTGGGAGGCTGAGGTGGGCGGATCACGAGGTCAGGAGATCGAGATCATCCTGGCTAACACGGTGAAACCTTGTCTCTACTAAAAATACAAAAATTTAGCTGGGCGTCGTGGCAGGCACCTGTAGTCCCAGCTACTTGGGAGGCTGAGGCAGGAGAATGGCATGAACTCAGGAGGCAGAGCTTGCAGTGAGCTAAGATACACCACTGCACTCCAGCCTGGGAAACAGTGAGACTCCATCTCAAAAAAAAAAAAAAAAAAAAAAAAGGAAAAATTAACCAGGCATGGCCGGGCATAGTGGCTCAAGCCTGTAATCCTAGCACTTTGGGAGATTGAGGCGGGTGGATCATGAGGTCAGGAGTTTGAGACCAGCCTGACCAACATGGTGAAACCCCATCTCTACTAAAGATACAAAAATTAGCCGGGTGTGGTGGTGTGCACCTGTAATCCCAGTTACTCAGGAGGCTGAGGCAGGAGAATCGCTTGAATCCGGGAGGTGGAGGTTGCAGTGAGCTGAGATCACACCACTGCACTCCAGCCTGGGCAACAGAGTGAGACTCCGTCTCAAAAAAAAAAAAAAAAATTAGCTGGGCCTGGTGGTGGGCGCCTATAATTCCAGCTACTCCAGAGGCTGAGACAGGAGAATCGTTTGAACTCAGGAAGTGGAGATTGCAGTGAGCTGAGATCACACCACTGCACTCCAGCCTGGGTGACACAGCAAGACTCCATCTCAAAAAAAAAACAAAAAACAAGGCCGGGCGTGGTGGCTCAAGCCTGTAATCCCAGCACTTTGGGAGGCCGAGACGGGCGGATCACGAGGTCAGGAGATCGAGACCATCCTGGCTAACAGGGTGAAACCCCGTCTCTACTAAAAAAAAGTACAAAAAACTAGCCGGGCGAGGTGGCAGGCGCCTGTAGTCCCAGCTACTCCGGAGGCTGAGGCAGGAGAATGGCGTGAACCTGGGAGGCGGAGCTTGCGGTGAGCAGACACCCGGCCACTGCACTCCAGCCTGGGTGACAGAGCAAGACTCCGTCTCAAAAAAAAAAAAAAAAACAACAACAATCCTTTAACCCCGAAACCTTATTAATCCTCTCTTGGGGATTATTTGTTCTTGTGCCCCCACAAAAGACACGGCCAGGCTGGCAGACTTCGGGGTTTCCCAGAGGGAAAGGTAAGAAGAAAACTCCTAGAGAGCTCTTCCGGTGAATCATACGATGTTGATTTTTCAGCTATAGCTGATGACTCGCAAAAATCAGGATGTAAAAGAAAACTCAATTGTTATTAGTCACCGACAGCTTGAGTGGAGTCACTTGCTGTTGCTATGCATGTTTCTACAGACACCTTGGGACGGCCTCCGTGCTGGACGTTACCTAGGAGGTGGTGCAGCTCCCCAAGGGTGGTCTACACAGGCTGAGGGCAAAAGGCCCAGCAGGCCCTCTGGTGTCCCTGCTGTGGATGCTGTCCCAGCATTAATATCCACCCAACCAACTGGGTAAACACCAGGATTTTACAAGCACACTTCAAAAAAACTGCTTTGCAAAATGCTCCTCTGTTAATACATAAAAGTTGAAAAAAACAATTATTCTTAAAAGTTACCAAACATTCTTCATCCAGTAACTCCAGAATTCCCATTTTTGCTTCAATCAGGTCAATAACCGGTTGATTGTCATAGAAATCTATCAGTGTCCAAGGGATATCTTCCTTCATGTATTCTTCTTGTTCCAGTTTGAAGACATGCTGGGAATCCAAAGTTAATACATAAAGTAAAACAGAATATTAAAATGTGTTTCCAAAGAGCAGGACGTAAACATTTGGAAAACATAAACGGTTGATCTGTAATATTTATGTTTAAACAGGAAGACCCTGAAGTACAGACAAGGCCCACACTATGATCAATACCACTGAGTTCCTAAAGCGGGTCTAGATGTCATCCTCCCACCTAGTCTGAGTGGGTCTCCACCTCCCAGGACATGGCTTGGGCCAGCCTGTGTCACCACCAGCACCACATGGTACTCAGTGTGGTCCTACAGCCCCTTCCTGCTAGAAGCTATTCAAGGACAGATCCAGCCTCTTTGGCCTAATGCAGCCTGGCTGGGTGGAGCCAACTACCTGAGAATGCTAGTTGCGGGGCCAGTGAGAGAAGCCCACCGCTTAGAGATTTTTGTGCACTACTTATTTGGGCTGTAGGGGTATCCGGGAGGCTTCCAGAGGATGTACTCAGGCCTACCATGGAGGATGAAAGAAAGTTGGGCTGGTAGGTGGTGAGGTGGGGTGAGGTGTGGTGAGGTGGGGTGGGGTGAGGTGAGGTGGGGTGGGGTGGGGTGAGGTGTGGTGAGGTGGGGTGAGGTGTGGTGAGGTGTGGTGAGGTGTGGTGAGGTGAGGTGGGGTGGGGTGAGGTGAGGTGGGGTGGGGTGAGGTGGGGTGGGGTGAGGTGAGGTGGGGTGGGGTGAGGTGGGGTGGGTGGGGCATCAAGAACAAAAGCCTCCCATGGAGGAATCCCAGTGGGAACCACACAAAAGCTCAATGGGTGCTTGAGAAACGTACCTCAAGCAGGTTAGAAAGTACAGGAGGACCGCAGGCAATGTGGTGGCAAAGAATGGTAGAGTCAGATCACCCGAGACCTTCACACCCTCCCTAGAGAATTCTGGGCCTATGGCCTTTTTCTAGGAGCAGTGAGGACCCACTGGAGGGTGGAGGGATTATGACGAGACCTGAAGGATGGCTGAGAGGAGGGAAGGACCGGAGGCAATGAGACCAGTAAGGACTCAGCCCGATGCTCTTGGTGGCTGCGACTTGGGGAGGAGGATGATGAGGGAAGAGGTCAGGATGAACGTCAGGCTCAGGACATGGGGTCCATGGCGTGACTTGACCACAGAAAGTCACGTGGGGGGTAAGTGGGCTGAGAGGAGAAGGTGGCACCTGCACTTCTACACCTGCTACTGCTGAGCTCCCTGCGGCCATCAGGTGCAAGGCCCAATGGCAGCCAGATGACGGGGACCGGAGATCAGGAGAGTCCTAACCAAAGCTTCCTGTGCTGACAACTGAAGGAAGGTACTACCCCTCCTGGGAGGATCTACAGATGGACGGATGACTGAGAAAAAGGAGAAGAGGGAAAAAGGAAGAGAAGGAGGAGGAAGTGGATGAGGAAGAAGAACAGGAGAGGATAACAAAAGCAAAAAGAAAAAACAGAATTGCAGCCTCTGATTTGTGATTTTTGGCAAGACATCTGGCATCGGTGTCACTTTGAGGGTAAGGGGGACATGCTGGGGAGCAGCACACCATTGCAGCCAGGGGACAGGGTAGCAGCCACAGAGAGTTGGACTTCAGGTGAGTTATACTGAATATGCACTTGGAATAAACCTCAGCTGTAGTTATTAATGTTAAATTTCCAGGAAAGCCTTGCAAATGCTAAAGAAATAGAAATTTACAATGGAATGAAATTTAATGGTTATACATGAATTAATTCTGGGCAAAAAAAAAAAAAAAAAAAACTTCTGAGTAGGATTCAATGTTAGGTCTTCTCACAACATTAGACAGCTATTATTGACTCTTTTAAAATGGATATATAATAGTTGTACATAGTTTTGTGGTACATGTGATATTTTGACACATGCATACAATGTGTAATGACGACTCATTTTTAAAACAAGGAAACAAAGGCTCAGAGAGCCCCAGGTCCCAGAGGGAGGTAGAGCTGAGACTCAAACCCAATTTAGTTTGAGCCAAAGCCCAAGCTCTCCAAGACTTTTCCTCAGGGGTTCTGAGGGAGAATAAGACTAAACACTAACAAAGGTATAACTTTTCCATGGAGTAACTGTTAGGGTATTAATACATGATTTCTATTATGAACTAGAATCAAAATTCTTCCCATGAACATGTAGCCAAAGTTTAGGATGTAGGCTAAAAGGAAAATATGAGTTAGTAAAGCATTTTCACTTTCATGCTTTTCAGAAACAGAGCCAAATAGAAATGTGAAGGAGGCAACTATTTAAAAAAATATGAGAGTAGTTTCATGGTAGAGCCAATGTAGAAGGATGTCCAATCAACTTTTAACTTCATCGATCTCTGTTAGGAGCAGAAAGGCATCGGTACTGTTGGGAGTTCAAAAGTGAATTCACTAAAGTTCTTGCATCTAGGGAACTGATTTAAGAGGTCGAAATTGTATTCAATACACATAGCAATAATAAATGCCAAAACGGCCACAAGTAGCATTTAGTCAACATTTTAAAAATTGTCTTATTCATCTTTCTATCTCAGCACTTAACTTGGTACCTGGTATACACAATATGCACTCAAAAATGTCTTTTGAATAAACAAATCTTCCTAGTGGGAAAAAAAATTGGAATCCATCTCCTGTCTGTTTCCATGGAAGGATACATTTGATCTTATCGGTAGTTAGGAAGGTACCATATATGTCTTGTTCTAAATTAAGGCTGGAGAAACTCATTCCCATAATCCATTGGCCATCTGCTGTTTAGTGCTGCATGCGCCGAGATAAGCACTGGGCTGAGAGAAACAAAGAATGCCAGTCCTGGACTCTCCAGGTGACCAAGTCTATTTGGAGACTTGTATGCAAATGATGACAATCCCATGTGACGGGCCTGTGATAAGGAAGCACATAGGAGGAGGCCAGGAGGTATCGCGGAAGGCTCTCAGGGAAGCTGGATCTCAAAACACAAGCTGGAGTTGGCCAGGTGAAGATAAAGCAATGGGGAAAAAAACAGGAGCAGGTGGGTTAAGGCAGAGAAAGCAGCAAGTGCAAAGACAGAGAGGCTCGAAAGAAAGTGGAGGCCTCAGGCAACCAACTAGTTTTGCCTGGCTGCACAGAGGGTCTGTATCCAAGAGGCGCAGTAAGGCTCACACATCGGCAGGTGATTCAAAAAAGAGCAAACAGATGAGAGGGTGTGATTTCAAGATTTGGCCACAAGGTGGTGCAGTAACCCAGCGTGAGGCTCCTTGCATAAAAATTTGAAACCTGAAGAAGAATGCCTCTTTCCATGATCACACACACACACACACACACACACACGGCTGAGAACTAGTCAAGAAGGCAGAAGGGTCACCTACCATGTTAAACTGTTGTTGCAGTTTTTCATTAGCATAATTGATGCAAAATTGTTCAAAGCTGTTCACATCAAAGGTTTCAAAACTGAAATACAATTTAAACAAGTTAAAATATAACCTGAAGCAGGACATATGCATTTGTTTATAGATATTTTTTTGACACTTAGAAGCTTAAACATTTGCTATATCTTCTACAAGTTTTAAATGCCCCTCAAAGCTTCTGGTTTTAATGATATCCTAGTAGTCAGTTTATATATAACCCTTTTCCTGGTTGTCCCCTGGAAGGAATCTGGTAGGTATAAAACACCTACCCCAAGCAAGGCATTAAAATAGGCGTGTCACGATATGGTGTAGTCCGCACAACAACAGTGATATTGGCAATTGTTATTCTGACTTTATAGGTCAAAAATAAGCCTGAGAGATTAAGAAACTTGCCAAAGGTCACACAGCTTGTGTCAGAACTTAGCTGCGAAGCTGCCTGACTGTGATGCCTGTGCCTCCAGTGAGAAGGCAACGTGGTTTCCTATTCTCCTTTCCTTGTCTGTTGAGGGGAGGAGCAGCACAATTGCGGCACAGTTTTGCCTCCCGAAGGCGTGCTTTCATAGTTCCTGGAGGAAAAGGACAAAGTCATTTCATATCCTACAGCCCAGCACACTCCGTCAGGGATGAGACAGACACGGCTGGCTTCCATGTTCAGACTTTCATCAGTTGCCTCTGCAGTTGCCTTGAAGTTGCAAGCTCAAGAACTGAGAGGAGCCCTTGGGGACAGGCCTGGGAAGCAGACTGGATACGGCACAACAGTGAGCCGTGTGGGGCCTGGAGAGCCATCAGGATTGTCCAAGGGGCAGCTGCTACTCAGCTCCTGCCAGCTGTAGCCATGGACGAACGTGGGCCAGGATGTTAGATTCACTGGTTCTCAGGAAAAGTCAGAAAACTGGGACTTTTAAGTGAGTAATCCCACTCTGCAAAACATGCTGTGGGTGAACAAAACAGAGGCGCCAAATTTACCACCTGGCCAGATGCGCTCCAGCTGGAAGGCAGCTTGCCGAGTGCTTTAAGGTGTCAGCATTTATGCATGTCACCTCCCTTAACCCTAACACAGCCCTATGTGAAGGGCTCCTGTGGTTCCACTGTCACACACGAGGGTCAGAGAAGGAGTGACCATGGTGAGGACCAACAGCCAGCAACTGGTGCCAGAAATGCAATTCGACCCCAGTGCTTGGTGCCTCTAAAGCTTTGTTCTTAATCACCCTAATCCTAAGAGGTTCCCGCCAGCTCCTACCACGGGTTCCCTGGGAGTCTCACTTGACTGAGCTGGTTTGGCTCAATCTGGAATTCCTGGGCAGGGTAAGAACCTGGACTGTCCTCTAGGTAGCTCCAGGGTGACGCATAGCAGCTCGAACGGCCCCATTCCACACGTAGCCTTGGTGGCTCAGAGATTTGGGGCCTGGTCTGCTCATGGAAGCAAGGCCAGGGCTGGGCCTAGGGGAGATTCGAAAGGGTCTCACTGCGCTCTGCAGCTCACTGCTGGGGCCAAGGGCAGGGCTTTCTAGAACCTGGCAAAATGTCAAATATCAATGCATTATTTGGGGGCACAAAGAACTGAAGTTTAGGACCTATGCAAAGACCTAGATCTGTGACTTAAAATGCTAAAGGCACGTTGACTATGATAACACTTCACATGAGATCCATGCTTATGGTTTTCAAGGTACCTGCATACCTTCCATCTCGTCTTCAAAATCACCCTGCAAGAGAGGCCCCATCTTGTAGATGCAGAAACTGAGGCTTGGAGAGGTTCTGTGACTTTCTTGGGGTCACGTAACTGGTATGCTATGGAGCTCACTCCGAGGGGTCTGACCCCCAGACCCAGGCTTTTCCAACTCTGGGTCCAAAGAACATAACACACGACAGGCCGGGGAGTCACCAGCCTTCGTCCGCTCTCAGCTTAGACCTGGAAGCTCAGCTTCAGCTTTACCTGCTTTCAAAGATGCTAACTCTTCCTTTGAAGCTTCCTTATTTCCAAGTCAAAATGAGCTTTCTCAAAAGTTGCAGGTACGCCTGGGCGAGGGTTAGCCTAGAAGTGAGGCTACTGGAGGGGGCGGGAAGGGCTTGGCCCCAGGTTGCAGCCCTGCTGCCTAGAGGAAAGCTGATTTTTTTGGAGGCGTCTCATGAACTCAAGGGTGGCAGCAAAGAGGCTGCTGTTAGAATTTTTGAGAGGAATCTTAAAATAATTTAACAAGTCTTTGTGAATTTATAAATACTTGTCTCAGGTTTTTCCACATAGCTGAAAAATTTAAATTCCTTATTACAGTGGTCCTGGATCCTGCCTGGGGGCCAACGTCCAGCTTGCTACTCCTTGCACACGGCTGCCCCTGCTCTGTCCCCACCCCCTGCTAACCTCCAGCACACCTTCCTCCCTTCCCAGGACTCATCCCAACCTCTACTGCTGGCCTGCCGCCCTCACCAGTCTCGGTCCCACGGCGGCAGGAGCCGTGTGTCTGTGCTGTTCAACCATTGCCTCCAACACAGTGCCTGGGACATAAACATCTGTTAGATAAAAATATGAAATAATGGCCGGGCGCGGTGGCTCACGCCTGTAATCCCAGCACTTTGGGAGGCCGAGGTGGACAGGTCGCAAGGTCAGGAGATTGAGACCATCCTGGCTAATACTGTGAAACGCCATCGCTACTAAAAATACAAAAAATTAGCCAGGCGTGGTGTGGTGGCAGGTGCCTGTAGTTCCAACTACCCGGGAGGCTTAGGCAGGAGAATCGCTTGAACCTGGGAGGAGGAGGTTGCAGTGAGCTGAGATGGTGCCACTGCACTCCAGCCTGGGCGACAGAGCAAGACTGTCTCAAAAAAAAAAAAAAAAAAAAAAGAAATATACTCTTAAAATAAAGGACTGCCATTTAAAAATATGTTTTTAAAACGCCCAAAAGAACAGGGAATAACAGAACAATTACATATTTCCACCACAGTGAAACAGGACTATTTTTAATGAGGACTATCCATTTTTAAAAGTTCACTTAAGCTTTTACTGGCTGCTCAAACACTTTCTTGGAACAAGACAAGGTAAATAATTGACTAGACTATCCCAGTAATGTATTAAGCATTTTATAACTGTTGACATGTACTATGAATTGGGAGCCATACATATTAACATAGGATCTAAATTAAACAAAGCAACTCCCTTGAGGCACTGTCTCTCATTTGACAGCTATGGCAAAAGCTGCCTCTCCACCTGTGTGCAAGTCCAACAGCGTGGCGTGGCCCTGTCCCCTCCTCCCCAGGAGGCAGCAGCAGGGCCAGGAAGGCCAGGGCTCGGCTCTCCCCTTTGCATGGGGAATGGGGTTGAGCAGCTTTTTGCCAGGGTGTGGGGGAAGATCCCCCAATCCAGGTGGAACACTCCACGATGCCTTTCACGGGTCAATCTTCCCCCTTCTCCTGCTAAGAAACCAGGGTGGGTCTCAGGAGAGGGGCAAGGGCTGGGCACTGGGGCCAGCTGCTGAGAAAAGCCTGAGGGATAACAACCTCTGTGGAGCCCTCCATACCAGCTTCCACTCTGGTTACTCCCCAGCAGTTTCAGCATGAGCTGGGCCTGGGGTTTAGAGGAGGAGGACCAGGCAGAGACAATGAAAAAGAACCCAATTCCAGGATGGGATGAAGGGTAAGACCTCCCGGAGGAGGGCTGGGGAAAATCCAAGACCTTCTCACCCGAGAACGGAAAATGATTGGGGTGGGGGGGGGTGGTTGATCGGAGACCTGGGTTCAGTCCACCTCTGGCCGCTGGGCTTGGGCAAGATGCAGGCCTAAGTGACTTGTCATCCCCTGTGATTTGAATGGGAAGGGACCCCGGGGCTCCACACCTCAGGGGCCTTTGGTGGGAAAAGCAGAAGCAGGAGCCTCACAACTGTGCTGGCTTTTCCCACCAGTGGAGCAACTGTGACCAAGTTATTGAGTCTTTCTAAGCCTTGGTTGTTGCAGCTCTAAAATGGGGATAGTTATGAGGTTGCTTAAGAATTAAGTGAGAAAGCCCAGGGAAGTCAAGCAGCCTCAGAGCTGGCACACAGTAAGCTCTTAACGCCAGTCATTACTAATTCAGCATCTCTTTAATGCACTTTAAATAAACGGCACCATAGCCCAGTAGAGTGTACTTAGCATCTATAGGGGCAAAAGCAGAGAATGTTATCTTTCTAATCATGTGAAATACAAAGGAACCAGAACAAAATAATCTAAAAACCACATGGCTCTCAACATGTAAAGGAGGAAAGACAGGCTCACTGAAGAGAATCTTACCCATAAATGTCCAAAACACCAATAAAAGTGTGCTGCTTGCCTGAAAACTGCAACGCTTGGTTAATTCTCTCCACAATGAAGTCGAACAGGTGAGCATAGATCTTTTTGGCCAGTGCATCCCTGGCGTTGACAGCCTGAGGCCTGGTCATGGGTTTTACCACCGTCTCAGAGCTTGTGATGATTTTGCGATTGCACAGCCACTGAGCAACTCTGCCACTCTCCAGGCCCAGGAGCTCACAGAACACCTTCAGGTGACTGTCATCCTCCTTCAAAAACAAGCACAAGCCCCGTCAGGTGGCCCAGTCATCCAAAGCCACACAATCCCACCCGGCCAAGGCCCCTGTGCCCACACTGAGGCCTGTGCAAGAGCTGAGTAGTAGCTGGCACAAGGATGCCCAGGCCTCAGGAGGTGGAGACAGACCTGGGAGTAGAGCAAGAGGGCTGCACCGGCACGGGTCCTGCAACCTGGCCCTTGGCAGACCACCCCTGCAGCAATGCCGGGGAGTCCAGGGCTGCATCCCACACTGATTTTTCATTTTAACCAAAGAATGTCAGCGGTGACTAAGGCCATGGAGGCCATCCTCCCTAGACCCCGCCCTGTTCCTGTGGATGTGGATGCAGCCCTCTCTCTTCCCTTTGTACCATCCTGGGCCACTTGTCAAGAGTGCGCACTCACCCTGCCCCACCTCGTGTGGCCAGGGGTTTGCCTGGATGATGGTCCAGGAGGTACCTGGGTGTTGTTGCCAGGCAGAAGCTGGTGGGGTTCCTGTGGCTGAGCTAGTGCCTCAGCTGACACGAGGCCTGGGGTGGGACTTTTCCTGAATGCACAAAGTGAAATCTTGCTTCTCCCCCAAGCCCGGGCATGAGAGCTGCCCCGCTGGTCAGCAGATGAAAAGAGGGAAGAGGTGCTCCCATTTCCCTTCAGCCGGTGTGGACAAAGGGCTCCTGTCCTTAGGTGAGGATGTGACTCCCAGCTCCTCTCTCAGTCAGGAGAACTCCCAAGGCAGGCTCCCCTGCGGGCACCATTCCAGCCCACCAGGAAACCCACGTGATTGCACTAAAAAGCCTCAGGACACAGTGGAGGAAGCCATGGAAACAGTCCTGCCCCTCCCTGCGCTCTACCCACACCCCTGCCGACCAGCATCACAGTAACACAGAGCTGGCTTTGACGTGCCTGACCTCATAAGGGAGGGGACTGGCAGAGGCATTTGGTTTCCTTCCTTCTAAGAAAGAATGAAACCTTCTGAGTCAAAAACAATTCAGCTGCAGGTGCTGCTATGGGAAAAAAATGCAAAGGGCAGCAGCTTTTCAGAAAGTCAGATGGCTTTGTCCAAATTTAATGTGTGCAACGTTTCAAGTTCCTGATACAAATGGGTGGAAATGGATCCCAAATCTAGGACCAATAATTACAGGACTGGGAATTTTCCACAGATATTCTTAGAACACAGAAAGGATTTTCTGCCAGTCAATGTTAATTCCTCCTCCAAAATGCTACCTTCACAACAAGCTTCACGGGAGAGGGCTCAGTGTGGTGGCATCTGTCGGGCAGAAATCACATTTTTAGTCTTTGGGGATTTAGGGAAAAAAGGGCAGAAGCCCAGCTTCTCCGAGGTAACTGAGCAAAAAAAAAGAGGGACCTGCCACTTCAGACACACCAGACTCTCCCCCAGGCCTCTCGTCACCTCTCTCCCTGCTTTCCCACTTGGGGAACTGGCTCACTCTGGGAGGTCTGGACACTGCGGGGGGATGGGAGGGGTGCTGAGGTGAAAGCTGGAGGAGGGGAAGGAGAATTACTTCCTGGTCATGGCAACAGGCCTAAAATGCCGAGCCCAGGAGTTCATGCTCCACTCAGCTCTGCTCTCTCCCCAAACTGTTGGTAGCAGACAGCCAAGAACCCACCAGGTATGCAAAATGATCAACTATTCCCATCAGTTATTTGAGGAACATGAAAATAGACATGGTTACGGACTGAATATTTGTGTCCCTCCAAAACTCAGATGTTGAAGTCCTAACCCCCAACTTGACAGTATTTGGAGATGGGGCCTTTGGGAGGTAATCAGGGTTGGCGAAAGTCGAGAGGGTGAGGCCTGCCATGATGGGATTAGTGTTCTCGTAAGAGGCGTCACAGCGTCTGCTCTCTCTCCACCATGAGGACGCAATGAGAAGGTGGCTGTCTAGGAGCCAGGAAGTCCTCACCAGAACTGAGCAGGCTGACACTCTGCTCTCAGACTTCCAGACTCTAGAACTGTGAGAAAACAAATGTCTATTGTTGAAGCCAGTCAGCCTGTGGCATTTTGATATGGCATTCTGAGTTGACTAGGACAGACATGTCACTGATAATGCAAAGCTTTAAAGGTAGGCAGATTCTGTGTTTCATAGAAACATTTTTTACTTGTGTTTGTTTTCTTCTCTACATGGACATTGATGAGACTAATTAAACACATACCCTTCCCCCAAGAATCACTACTCATAGTATGTGTCATAGAAGAAACACACATTAAATTAACTTGTGTCCATTAAAGAAATCTATCACAAAACTTACAACACATTCCCAGGAAGCCAGCACCACTGACGTCTGAGTCAAGCAGGTGTAAGGAGGTAGTGAGTGTCCTTCTGTTGAAAACTACCCAGCGTCCTTCAGGTCCTACGTGGTCTGCCATCCCCCTTCTCCCTCTGGTCTCATCCACACCCTCCCTGTCACTCACCCTCTGGATACATGGACCTTCCTGCTGTATCTCAAATGACATCTTCTGCCTGCGGGTTTCCGCACTTGCCGTTCTTCCCCCATCCACAGGTACAACCTGCTTCTTCATCCCCTTCAGGCCGCTGCCCACCACCGCCTTCTCAGAAAGGCTTTCTCTGACCACCCCACATGAAAGGCACAGCCCCTCCGCATGCCCCCTCTGCTTTACTTTCCTCTGTGCCAGCCGTCACCAGCTGCCAGAGATCATATTTGCTTGTTGTGTCTCCTCCCTACCCATGATCATAAGCTCTCTGAAGGGCTTCTTGCTTTGTTTTGTTCACTGCTGTTTCCCCAGATGCTATGACAGTCCGTGGCACTTAGTAGGTGCTTCATACAGACTTGCTGAATAGAAGAAAAACACACAGAAGACACATTTCCCCTCCTCTACTGTTGCAAGGGGAGGAGGCTTTACTCCTTGAAGGCAACCCCTGGAATCCCTTGCCGCCGGCTTCCTGCTAAACCAGTCTACCCAGGAGGCCGTCTATGCCTGCTGCTAAAAAGCAAAGGCAGGCCAGTTGCGAACCGGTTCCACTATGACCCTCAGACAAAGGAAAAGTAAAACAAATGAGCATCTCACACTAACTGAGGACCTCTCGTTGCCCACCGCGGTGATCTGCACGTTGCCCAGATGTAGGATGGCTGCCAGGATTTTAAAAACGTCCATCTGAAAATCCTCCTTGAAACCTGAAAACAAACATTTTCCCAGATTAGGAATACTGCATCTCTTCTCTGACTAGTAAGATGGGCACCTGGATTCATTCGAGACATGCAGGTCGCATCAGTGCCAAGCTCTGGGACAGGAACGTGAAGTGGACCCAGGGGCCTCTGGTGCACTATTCCTTCTAGTCGACCTCTGTAGACACACGCCATATGTGTCTATACACAGGTTTCCCCTGTGCCATGCCTGCTAGGAAGTTCAACACAAAAATTAATACCCGAGTAACTGTTTCACATCAGGTTCCTCAGAGAGTCGTCCTGCCTTGATTCTGAGCTTGATTTGGAACGTTTTTCACTTTTCTTTTTGCTCACAAGCTCTCTGAATCCGTGACTTATTTTCTAGGTGGGATTGCTGGAGGGATGCCGTTTGCCCCTCCAAATCGTCTGCTCTCTGCCCCAGGGGACTTGGCATAAACCAAGGCGATGGCCTTTCATGCCCTCTGGCCTTTGGTTGGGCTTGATTCATGGGGAGCCCCGGCAGGAGAACAGAGAGAGGAGCGGAGAAGGTTCTGAGTGCGTCCTCCCCAGCCGCTGTCCCTGTGAAGCTGCCTCCAGCTGGCTGCATGGCCCGAATGACAGGAGGTCACTACTCCTCTGGGGCTGACTTTACCCAACTCTCCTTCTAGGCTCCAGAAACCCAGAAACACTTGGATGCCCACATGGGAAAGAGCAGTGAACAGTTCTGCTGCTGCCCCCAGGTGCCCACTGCCCCTTGTATTAGTAGATCCCCTAGACTCCACTCACAACTTTGTAGTTGTAAATAATAAATAATCCCTCTTGTATCCTATTGTGAGCCTGCCCCATGTTTCCCATTGGGGCTTTGATTGCAGTAAGTAGAATATAAATTATAACTACACACCATATTCAGTCACCATGAGGGCATTAGCACATTTCCTGGAGCCAATAAGAAAGCAAACCAGCTGCTAGAAAGGACTGTGTGTTCAAACCCTGCAAATCACAGTGTAGACCTGCACACTGTGAGCCCGGTGATGCCAGGTCGGGATCCCCCCAGTGTGTGTTAATGACACTGTGGTGACCTGAGGAGCTGAGAGATGCGCTCGGGCTGGCAGGCAGGCTCATTCACACCAGGCAGGCTGCCCGGTCCACCCTGGAATGGACACCGGAATGGAAGCCAGTGACCCCTCATTTGAGGATACCTGGAGTTTTCATTAGCAGGTAGGTCGTGTTCTTTAACGATTTCAAAACCTACTTTTTTTTTTTTTTTTTAGACAAGGTCTCACTCTGTTGTCCAGCCTGGAGTGCAGTGGCGTGATCATGGCTCACTGCAGCCTTGACCTCCTAGGCTCAAGTAATCCTCCCACCTCCGCCTCCTGAGTAGCTGGGACTACAAATGTGTGCCACCACACCCAGCTAACTTTTTGTAGAGATGGGGTTTCGCCTTGTTGTCTAGGCTGGTCTTGAATGCCTGGGCTCAAGTGGTCCACCCTTCTTGGCCTCCCAAAGTGCTGGGATTATAGGCATGAGCCACTGCACCTGGCCCAGAGTCTCCTGTACTACAAAGATTAAATAAAATCAGTCTCAAAAGCTTTCAATCCAAGAACACAGGGAAGACTCCAGCTCCAGCTGAGTTCAGGCACTTGCTGCCTTTCCATCTGGAGGTAACTCCTCCATCTGAAGGACAGATGTGTCCAACAGAAACATATCCCTAGGCCTCCGCCACAGTAATGACAGGTAAGTGATCACGAGCAGCAACTCAAAATGCCAGGTGCAGAAGCCTCCATCGTGACACTCCTCCTTGCTTTCTGTGATCCATAACTAAATCCCTCAACTACTCCAGGCCTTCCAGAAACGCAAAAGGGAGATGACAACTCCAAAGCAGTAATATGAAAGAAAGAGTTCAAGACCTGTGTTAAGTAATCACCCTTAGTGAGCCTGTCACACAAAAGCAATGCCAGCCTGAATCAGATTTCCAGGGGGAGCTCACTGGTCAAGTTTCTAGAGCCTGAGGTCCTGGAGACAGCCTGATTCCAAGGTGTTCGTCCCATCAGAGAGCAAAGGGCATAGCAACACTCAAATGGCAGGGATCAGTGGATGAGTCACATGAGAAAGACACAGCAGAAGAGCAGAGGAGAGGGACTTTTCAATCAAAATGCATCCTCTCGCGCTTCTCCAGGGGTAATCTCAATGCCAGCTGAGGGACCTCAGCAGCAGAAGCGAGGGGAAGGCGAACGGAACACCGCCTCAGGCACTGTCCTCGGTATTTTCCATGCATCAGCTCCTCTCATGCTCACTGCAACCACAGGAAGGAATCCTAGTATTGTTCCCATCTCACAGAAGAGGAAACTAAGGCACAGAAAGGTTAGGGAACTCACCCGAGATCACACTGGGTAAGGCGTATCTAAGCAGTTTAACGCCAGTGCCCACCACAGTATGAGAAAAGACCCACAGCATTCATGAGCCATCTAGCTTCACCCTAGCGTGTCTAAACAGAGAAGTTCCTGATGACCTTGTGCAAGGTGAAGGAAAAGTTTGAGCAGGGTCGCTTGCTGAGGTATCCTCGTTTGAAGGCAGAGGTGCAGGCAACAGGTGCAGTGGCCCCAACCTCTTACCACCTGCCCACTTCACACAGCACAGCAGGCGGCCAACACCATTAACGCTGTGAGAGGACACAGTACTCCACCTCTCTACAGAACTCCAGAGGGCTTTGTCTAAAACGTCTAGGTCTGTGCACAGGCTAAGTGTCCAGGGCCAACCCCGCACATGCGGGGCCCTGAGGGTGAGCGCCTCTCTCGCCTTGTCCCAGTCTTGGCCCTGGGACTGAGGAATGTGATGTGGAAATCTGTAAACATAACCTAAGTTGTGTGATACACGGGGGCAAATGGCTGCAAACTGCTGATCTCCAAAAATTAGAAAAGGTTTCATGGAAGAAGAGACGGTTTTACTCAGAGTATGGTGAGGGTTTGGACAACTGGGAATGTAGAGAGCTAGAAGGCAGGGAGTAGCAGTTACCACGCACCAGCTGCGTGCTTGGCCTGGTGCTGGGGACTTTTACATACACTTCCTCGCCAGTTGTCATGAAAGGTAAGGTGTGCTGCCACTCACAGATCGAGACACCAAGTCTTGGCTGGGCACGGTGGCTCATGCCTGTAATCCCAGCACTCTGGGAGGCAGAGGCGGGTGGATCACCTGAGGTCAAGAGTTCAAGATCGGCCTGGGCAACATGGTGAAACCCCGTCTCTACTAAAAATACAAAAATTAGCTGGGGGCGGTGGCGTGTGCCTGTAATCCCAGCTGCTCAAGAGGCTGAGGCAGGAGAATTGCTTGAGCCCCAGAGGCAGAGGTTGCAGTGAGCTGAGATTGCACCATTGTACTCCAGCCTGGGCGACAGAGCGAGACTCCGTCTCAAAAAAAGACACCAAGTCTCAGAGTGGGTACCTTAGACTCATACCAACTAGGATTTGAATTCACGTTCATTTGATCCCAAAGCCTACTCAATTTGTCCTACATTATCTTGCTGTGAGGAGGGCATGATAGAGGTGAGAGACAGTAGAAGGATCAGGGAGATGACAGTGGGCAGGGCAGGGCATATCCTCCAGCCCAGCCAGAGTTTGGCCACCTGTCCCCTCCTCACGCACCGAGCCCGCTCTCCACGGAGTAGATTATACAGAGATTGAAATGACGACTATAATTATTTTCAGAAAATGTGAATCAGTGCCAAAAGTGTTTATCTTATTATTACAAAATGTTCAAATTGCCCTTCTCCTTGAAGCAGGTTTGAAGGAACAGAGTCTGATGGTGATTTTGCTTAGAAAACCATCTTGTTTTCACTTTCCATTATCCAGCTGTGATCGTCTTACCTATTCCTTCGATATATTTAACCTGAAATTCTTAGCCTTTTACATTCAGATACAGTCAACTAGGCCACAAGAATGAAAGCACTTAGAATGAATTGGTGGGAGATTTCAGCAAGAGAAATTTCAGCAAGACGTAGAAATGACTGGCTGGGCGCGGTGGCTCACACCTGTAATCCCAGCACTCTGGGAAGCCGAGGCAGATGGATCACGAGGTCAGGAGCTCGAGATCATCTTGGCCAACACGGTGAAACCCCGTCTCTACTAAAATACAAAAAATTACCCAGGCATGGTGGTGCGTTCCTGTTATCCCAGCTACTTGGGAAGCTAAGGCAGGGGAATTGCTTGAACCGGCGAGGCAGGGGTCGTGCCACTGCACTCCAGCCTGGCGACAGAGCAATATTCCGTCTCAAAAAAAAAAAGGAGAGAGAAAGAAAGAAATGGCCAACGGCCTCACTCTGATCAAAAGCTTTGACTGGCAGCTTCATGTGGATGTCTAGACTCATACAGAATGGGAGAGTGAATGCCTGTTTTTATAAACACCATCTGGTAGACAGCCTTTCTGAACATGAGCTCTGTGTGGGAAAAGTAAGACGAGAAGGACTGGGAGCAACTGGCTGTGCTGTAAGAGTCGTGCCTGCTCCACCTGTGCCGGCATCCGAGCAACAGAAGACGGGGTTTTCTGTACAAAATGAGATGCTTGAAGACCCTGGAGTGCAAAAGCCAGTTCTACTCTGAATCTGCCGCCTAACCTTGGGTAAATCACTTCCCATCTCTGTGCCTTAGTTTCCCGCTTATAAAATGGGAGAAACAGCAGCACTGACTTCCTAGGGTGGTTGTAGGGATTGAATGCGTTCACACAGGGGTATGAAGTGCTTAGGATGGTGCCCAGCACATTGTAAGCTCCAGATAAGTACTGTCATTACTGTCATCATCAGGAGACCTATGAAGGCCACAGAGGGCCAACGCTCCACTTCTGAACCGAATCGGACCTTGGCTTCACCAGTCATCCTTGTATTCAGCCTAGAAGAGCTTACAGCAGTCACACGGCTTGCAGCCCATGCCTCTGACAGTGAGCCAGGAAGGCTGAGGGAAAAAAAGGGTTAATTTCTAGCTCTTTTAAGGGAAAAGCAGTCTTGACCACTTAGTCTCCAAATACGTTCTGATGGTTTGTCCTAAAATTAGAATTGATTAGGAGCCTTCAGAACACACATATGCTGGGAATCCCCTTTTAATTTTTTTTTGAGACGGGGTCTTGCTCTGTTGCCAGGCTGGAGTGCAGTGGTGTGATGTCGGCTCAATGCAACCCTCCGCCTCCTGAGTTCCAGGGATTCCTCTGCCTCAGCCTCCTGAGTAGCTGGGACTACAGATGCCCACCACCATGCCCGGCTAATTTTTTGTATTTTTAGTAGAGACTGGTTTCACCATGTTGGCTAGAATAGTCTTGATCTCCTGACCTTGTGATCCACCCGCCTCGGCCTCCCAAAGTGTTAGGATTACAGGCGTGAGCCACCATGCCTGGCCTTAATTTTTTTTTTAAGAGAAAATGGCTACATCCTTGGATGGGATATTTGCTCTTACCCAGTAGCGTGAAGGTCTTTTGAGTCTCTACCATTTCAGCTCGATCATTCACACCCTCAATGACAGTATTGCCTCCCATTCTCGTATAATTAAATTCTTCGGCACTCCCTGAAATCAAAAAGTAAGATTTGTTATGTCTGTAACACAGAAATTTGGACATACACATGTATCAGAAGAAGGGAAGTTCATACTTAATGAGCTGTGTCATGCCCTTTACACAATTTATTCCGTTTATTCCTTAGAACTCTGCATTACAGCCAGGTGTGGAGGCTCATGCCTGTAATCCCAATACTTTGGGAGCCTGAAGCAGGGGCTTGCTTGAACCCAGGAGTTCAAGACCAGTCTGGGCAAAAGGGCAAAACCCTAACTCTACAAAAAATTAGCTGGGCATGGTGGCATATGCCTATGATCCCAACTATTCAGGAGGCTGACGTGGGAGGATCATTTGAGCCCAGGAGTTCGAGGCTGCAGTGAACCGTGCTGGTACCACTGCACCCCAGCCTCGGTGACCCTGTCTCAAAAAAACAAAAACAAAACAACAAAGAAAGAATTCTACATTACAGACGCAGAAGCTAAGACTCAGAAAAGTGAAGTAACTTTCTCAAGTTCCCATAGCTGATGGCACGCAAGAATTTAAATGCAGGCCTAACTCTAAAGCTCATGGTTTTTGTTCCTGCACCCAACATTGTTATATAGCTTTACTGAGGTTTACTGAATGTACAATAAACTGCATGTTTAACACGTACAATTCGGTAAACTTTTGACATGCATATACTCCTACAAAACCATTAGAACAATCAGGATGACTACACACACACACACACACACACACACACACATACATACATACACCTAATGTTTAAATAGTAGAGGATCTTTCAGAAAGCCCTTCTGCAAGTTCGCTATTCATATTCTGTTTGGTGGACAAGGCCAAGGATATTACCTTCATGTGACATCTGCAGAAACTTAGATTCTAAAAGCACAAGCAGCTTCTCCAAAATTAGAGAGTGTGTAAGTTCAACTCCAACATACTAGACGTTATCTCCGACAATTCTCATCTACCAGCATAGCACAAATGGCTAAGGCAGGAGAGCCATGACAGCACAGGGCTCGGAGCCTTTTGTATTGAAGGACAAACAGCCCTATGCTTTAGCCATCTCTGGAATATAATCAATTATGACTACAAATAATGAATGACCTTGAGCCATCAAATTATGATAGAGGAGGTTTGTTTTAAAAATGGGTTAACATGTCATACATGTTAGAAAAACAACTATCTATGCATGTTCAAATAAAATGGAAGGTTTGGTGACGCCATATGTTCCAGCTGTCAGGAGGTCTTAATCAGGTGGTTCTAGCTGGAGGAGCACAAACACCCAATGAGCTATTTTTTTTTTTTTTTTTTTTTTTTTGAGATGGAGTCTTACTCTGTTGCCTAGGCTGGAGCGCAGTGGTGTGATCTCGGCTCACTGCAACCTCCCTCTTCCGGGTTCAAGCAATTCTTCTGCCTCAGCCTCCCACGTAGCTGGGGCTACAGGCGCGTGCCACCACACCTGGCTAATTTTTGTATTTTTAGTAGAGACAGGATTTTGCCACATTGGCCAGGCTGGTCTTGAACTCCTGACCTCAGGTGATCCGCCCGCCTTGGCGTCCCAAAGTGCTGGGATTACAAGTATGAGCCACCACGCCAGTCCCAATGAGCTTTAAAAATAACCTCAGGCTTAAGAGTGCCCTCTCTCTCTAAACTCATCCCCAGAGCCCTAATCCAGCCCCTTAATTAGATGCACCAATTCTGTCCTTGAAACCAAAGAATCTTATATATTTGGGCAAATACTTTAAAAAAAAAAAAAGACATATTAGTACAAGAAGAAAGTTAACCTAGAATTTAAGCCCCCATATAAAAGAGAGACCCTTCCACACACGATCCATCACATACCCAATTTAAGATGTTTAAATTCCGACTGCTGTGCAGATGCACAAAGCTGATAGAAAATGTGGTAATTTCGTTCATTTTCCGACTGTAAGATAAAGAAATGTCCTCAAAATTACACCAAATCCTCACAAGCAAAAATGCCAGGTTTTTAACTAGAGGGTCCTAGATGTCTAATCTGGATGGATAATTATCTGTCTGGGATGTGATCTGGCCAGTTTACAAGAGGCCCTTCCTCTCAACTGAGAACTGGGTGGCCTGAGATGGCCTTCCAAGTAACGAGCAACCCAGAGAAAGTGTTATTAAATGAAAACGTCCTATGGAATGGGAATGGCATAACTCATCCTAGTGAAATTTTTAGAAACTTCCTGCAATACAAGGTTTACTGTTGCTCTCCTCCTGGGCCAAAACAATGAGAATTTTCTCCATTTTACTGGCAGAAAAGCCTTTCTCTTAAAACCCCCTCGATAGCTCTGATCCCATTTCCTTTCTGATAGGAAAGCCAGTCTGTCAGCTTTGTCTATTTCAAACAGTTTTTGTACTCTAGAAAGAGATACTTGCTTTTTAAACTATAAGGATTTTGTAAATCCCCCAAATTAAAAAGTCATAACCTTTTCCTACAGTCATACAACTCACCTGATATTACACCTATTCACCACCAAGTTTTAATAAACAGAAAAAAGAATCCAAACTGCAAATGAAAGATAAGAAAACCCCAGTCTTCAATTCACAGCATAGCGTAGCTTGCCTGAGTATATATAATAAGTATATAAATGTAAATAATGTTCCAAAAGCTGGGGAAAAGGAAATTTAATACTTACTTGAAAGACAACTCTGGATTTCTCCAGGAGGTAAGTTCTCATGTTGGCTCCTATAATTTGATTTTGTTTATCAAAACTGATTTCTGTGTATTTCCCAAACCGACTACTATTGTCATTGCGGGTGGTCTTGGCATTTCCGACAGCCTAAAAAAACATAACTCTTTTGAAATAACAACATTAAAAGATTTTTGCCTCAACGTTATTGCAGGAGTTTTTGGTCAAATGCGATTCCGTACCCGAGGGGAAGGTCTGATTGGCAGAGGGAGATCTGGGGAAAGAAAACAACCCCAGGCTGGTAGGGAACATGACCAATCCCGAGCCTGCTACTCAAACCTCTCCTCGGTCCCACTGGCAGACACGGGGGAGGACCAGAAAGAGCACAGGTTCTGATGTTTCAGGGCCCTGGGTTCTATCTTTGCTATCTGTGTAATGTCTTACAAGTTAGTTCACTGGCTAGGTGCGGTGGCTCATGCCTGTAATCCCAGCACTTCAGGAGGCTGAGGCGAGAAATTCACTTGAGGGCCAGAAGTCTAAGACCAGACAAGGCAACACAGTGAGACTCCCGTCTCTACAAAACACAAAAAAATTAGCCAGGCATGGTGGCATGTGCCTGTAGTCCTAGCTACTCAGAAAGCTGAGGTGGGAGCATTGCTGGAGCCCAGGAGCTGGAGGCTGTAGTGAGCTATGATTGCACCACCGCACTCCAGCCTGGGTAACTCAGCGAGACCCTGTCTCAAAAACAAACAAACAAAAAAGGTAGTTCATCTTTCCAGGTCTTAATCTCTCTATCTGTAATATGAGAATAATAAGCAACTCACCGTTATGGACTGAATGTTTGTATCCTCCCAAAATCCTCATGCTGGAATCCTAACCCTATGTGTCGGTATGGTAAGGTGGGCCTTTGGGAAGTAATGATGTCACGAGGATAGAGCCCCTGGGAGTGGGATTTTAATGCCTACATACCAGGGATCCCAGAGACCTCTCTTGCTCTCTTTCTACCATGTAAGGGTACCGTGAGAAGACAGCAGGCAGGCACCCAGAAGAGAGGCCTCGCCAGAACCTGACCCCTGCTAGCACCCTGATCTTGGACTTCCAGCCTCCAGAACTGTGAAAAATAAATTTCTGTAGTTTATAAGCCACCTGGTCGATGACACTAAAGTATATTATACTAAAGTATCTTATACTTATTATTATAACAGCAGCCCAGACTGACCAGAACACTTACAGAATTGGAAGGATTAAATGAGAGAATATGAGGTGTCTCAACTCACTCAGGCCCCAAATGCCTATGATGCTCAATTAAAAGTTCACATCTTTCATCCAACCTTTATTCCAATCCTTACTCCTTACTGCTTCCCTACTGAAGCTTTCCACTTAACCAAAAGACTGCTCCTTCTCATCCCTCCCACTCTCTGGGCAGGATTTTTGCTTTTTACTTCTGTTCTTCAATTTCATCTCTCCTCTGCCCCTCCCCACCCTCTCTTGAGCACCCTCTTTCTAGATGGACCCTGCCCAGGTCATCATGCTGCCTGTAAACATGTATTTACTGAGCACCTACTATGTGCCATGCGCTCGGTAAACAAAGGTGAACCAAATAGATATAGTCCTGCCTTCAGAGTGTACAGTCTAGTGGGGGAGACAAACCCTAAATATTTACACAAAATTATCCACTGGGCATTTAACTTGGCACTGGCTCTTGATAACTTTTATTTTGAGACGGGGTCCCACTCTGTCATCCAGGCTGGAGTGCCAGTGGTGCAATCTTGGCTCACTGCAACCTCCACCTCCTGACTCAAGCAATCTACCTACCTCAGCCTCTTGAGTAGCTGGGACTACAGACATGTGCCACCATACCTGGCTAATTTTTTGTATTTTTGGTAGAGATGGGGTTTCATCATGTTGCCCAGGCTGATCTGGAACTTCTGAGTTCAAGAAATTCACCCACCTCAGCCTCCCAAAGTGCAGGATTATAGATGTGAGCCACTGCACCCAGCCTTGATAACTTTTCTATTGGTATCTTGGATTGTAATTTATGTTTCTAAGAAGCTTATGCCTCTGAACTATGAGCTTTGCAGTGTTTCTTAGTACCCCCTCCTCACTTATGTTTCTATTTAATTTTAAAATATTCTTACGTTAGGTTAGAAGAATCTTAACTTGGAGATTGGGTCTTATTCCTTTCCATCACTTCCCACATTAGCTACACAGTGGCTTCAACAGAGTAGATGGTCTGATAAATATTCACTGAGGATTTTGATTTGAGAAAACAGGGAGAAGAGGTCTACGAGTCTAATGTTCTTAATTATTTGCTTTGCTTCCAAATAAATTCAAATCAATCCTCTTCCCATTTTGCAGGGCAGCTGGAGTTGGCTTGCGGGGACCTCCTCTGTCCCTTTTGGGTGCCCCTTCTTCCTTGAGGGCTATCTCCTCACCCCTGGGCACTGTCACAGTTGGTCTTGCCCACTCTCTGTCCCAGTCAGCAGTGTGCTGATGAACTGGCTCTTGGGGAGGGCAGGAGGAAGAGTCTTTACATGTAGCCTTTGCCAAGGCAGAAGGTATAAATTCTTCTCCCATGACTGATATCAAACTACCAAAGGTTTATCAATCAGCTTGCAAAACTCCTGAATATTTTAACAATCAGCTCATGAAAGCTGACGCCAGCTGGCTGGAGAACACCAGTGATTTCAGTGCACCAGTGATGTTTGGTTTTCCCCTGGGATATAAATGTAAACAGAGGACTTCTGGAATCTGACGGTAGATTTCCAGCCCAGGAGGTAGAGCAGGAGAGAGCCTTGAAAGCAGCAATTCTGTCCCCATCTCCTTCAAATCCCACCAGCAAATAGGCTTCCTGGGTCTTTCCTGCCCTCACTTCTTTAGTCTTTAAAGGGTGGAACTTGAATTAGCCAGGAGAGCACAGAACCCAACCAACCCCCATTTCCATCATCAACACACGGCTGCCTTCCGCAGCGGTACGCACCTCGGTGATGGGATTGGACGCCAGGACCTTGTCCTCCACGTGAGCGTTGCTGCCCGATTTGCTGACGGTGGCGAAGTACCTCATGGCATAGCGAGCTGACACTGTCTTTCCAGCACCCGACTCTCCACTTACAATTATGGACTGGTTTCTGTTGTTTCTAAAGCAAATAAAAGAGTTTTCAAATGTTAGTTTCTTCCCATTAAAGAGGCGATGTGCGCTAATTAAGACAAATGCGGACAAGACAAAAGAGGGAAACCGTTTTGTCACTCTACTATTTTAAAATCTCAATCAAGGCTGGGCGTGGTGGCTCACGCCTGTAATCCCAGCACTTTGGGAGGCTGAGGCAGGCGGATCACGAGGTCAGGAGATCGAGACCATCCTAGCTAACACAGTGAAACCCCGTCTCTACTAAAAACACAAAAAATTAGCGGGGCGCGGTGGTGGGCGCCTGTAGTCCCAGCTACTCGGGAGGCTGAGGCAGGAGAATGGCGTGAACCCGGGGGGCGGAGCTTGCAGTGAGCCGAGATTGTGCCACTGCACTCCAGCCTGGGTGACAGAGCGAGACTGTGTCTCAAAAAAAAAAAAAAAAAAAAAAAAAAACCTCAATCAATTTCCTTCTAGATTTTTTTTTCTATCTTTCATCCAACCTTTTATTCCAATCCTTACTCCTTACTGCTTCCCTACTCAACCTTTCCACTCAACCAAAAAACTGCTCCTTCCCATCCCTCCCAGTCTCTGGGCAGGATTTTTGCTTTTAAACTTTGTTCTTGAATTTCATCTCTCCTCTGCCCTCCCCACCTTCTCCTGAGCACCCTCTTTCTAGATGGACCCTGTGCAGGTCATCATGCTACCTGTCAACATGTATTTATTGAGTACCCCAAAATTACTGAGGGGCCCGAAGACCAACCCCAGGTTCAATGTCCCAGTAAGAGAACTCACAGGACTCAGCATACAGTCATCCTCACAGCTAAGACTGACTGCACCAAGAGGATACAGAGCAAAAGCAGCAAGGGGAAAAGGCATGCAGGGCAAAGTCCAGTGGAACCTGGGTGCAAATTTCCAGGGGTCCTCTCCCAGTCAGGTCACACAGGGCACGCTCAATTCCTCCAGCAAGGAATTTGACAGCACATGTGAAATGCTGGCTGCGAGGGAAGCTCATTAGAGATGCAGTGCCCACCTTCTGCCTGGCACATGCCAACATTCCAGACTCCCAGAAGGAAAGCAGGTATTCAGCATAAAGCACATTGTTTACACAAACAGCTTGAGTTTAGGTAAAATGAGCCATTTTATCAACCAAGAAATGTCAGGAACCGTCATGAAATCAGAGGCCAGCCACGGGCCACCTTGCAAGCAGGCCTCTAAAGATAGCAGCCTCAGGCCTTATGTCAACTCCTTTCTGCACATCCCACTTAAATATAAAAACATTTCAAGGACATTATTTTGAGAGCAATTATTCAAAAGATGCTTGGGAACATATGCGCTCTGTAAGCCAACATGTTCTGTTATATAATTTAGAGATTTTTAAAAATGCACTAAACTTTTCATGTCATAAGATCGTGACGGTGGAAGCTTCTAACGCGGCTCTGTGGATGCGGCACCGCTCACATGCCAGGTGCTGAGTGAATACAGATTCTCATTTAAGCTTCACGAAAGTCCTACGACACAGATCTGTCTCTTACAGAGGAGTAAAATGGTGACCGTGGGTGGAGTGACTTGACCCAGAGCACAGAGCCACAGCCTCCCATGTGAATGCTGGAGAAGACTTTGGGTACAGAGCCCTGGTCCAATATTTTCATTTCAGAGACAAGATGAAGACTCCGAGAAGGGGAATGACATGCTCAGTGTCCCTCAGGGCATAGAACAGGGCTTCAGTAATCCCAGTCCTGTTCTACATCCCTGAGGGACACTCCCTGTCTAGCATCAAATAAGGCCAACATGCGCCTGCTTTAGGCTCCATTCTGTTACTGCAGTTACACAGACCGCCAAGGAGACACTGGCTCTTCAGGGCTGAAGTGAGCACAGCCCTACAGCGCCCAAGAGCTCATCCCACTGATACCCAGACCCTAATCACCATAATACCTGGGAGACCTGCAGGGAGCCAGGGAAAAATCTCAGAACCGTGGGGGTTTTCGGGTTAGAAGGAATCTTGGTGCAGCAGAAGCTACTAATTCTCTATCCAGTATTCACTCGCATTCTCCTCTTCCTTCTTAGGGACTAGGCCCCAGTGGCCAGGCAGTGCCCCGCTGTGCATATGAAAGACTGCACATCCCAGCCTCCCTGTGTGAGTGAGGTCCTGGCCGATGAGCTGTGAGCAGAAGCGCTTTGTGGGGTTTCCGGAGAATCTCCCTAACCTGGAGGGCTGTACCCTTCCCCTCATATGCCTTGTCACCTAGAATATGGAAGACAGAGCTGAGCACTAGCTTGTCCCTGAGGATGCCTGCCCCACCCCAGGGACAGGGAGCTGCACAGCACCGGTCTCTGATGACTGTGAAGAAGCTCGGTCTATCCCCAGACTGCCCATTAGACGGCTCTGCAGGAAAGCAGCACGTGTTCTACCTCATGGAAGCTACCACCTGCCCTCTCATTATAAGCAGCAGAACCAGGAATGGGTGCCCTCTGAGAGTCCAGCTCACGGACGAAGACATAAAGCGGAGGGAGCTCAGGAGCTGCAGCTGGGGTTATGCAGTAAAGACTTAGGTAAAGAGTCAGCAGGTCCAGGTCCTGTGCCTCGGATTTCCCATCTGTGAAAAGTGCGCAATAAAGTCAGTCGACTTCACAGGAGTGCTGTAAGACTCAAGGGAGACCACTGTATGTGAAAGTTCTTTTGCAAACTGTAAAGGCAGCTACAAAGATAGCGTGGTGTTTTTATTCTCCATACTTTACAGATGAAGACACTGAAGCCAAAAGTGAGAGTTATGGGAAAAATAAACTAGAGTTTAAAAATCTGAGCACAAATCCCAGATCTGCCTTTTACTTGCTGCCTAACCTCGGTTGGTTATTCCCTGAAGCTGTTTACCGCCCAGACATCTGCATCGTGGGCTATTCTGAGGCCATCCCAGATGACATATGGGAATGTGTGTGTGGTGCCTCATTCGCAGGAGGCTTTCCATACATGTGCACTAGTGAAACAAGAACTCCACGGGGTCCTACAAACACCTAGCAGTGAACTCAGGATACAACTCCAAGTCTCCTGCACCTAAAACCTCCTGCAGCTAAATCCCCTGTCATCAGATTCTGCTTCCCTGAATGGGTTTAAAAAAAACTTAAACATCTCACAGCAGAGATTAAATCAACACTCCTCCAACCAAACACACTGCAAGAAAAGGATCTGCTATTCCCAAACTGGTAGGACTGACTTGACTACCTTGAAGGAACAAAACCCAGGAAACTCAGTCTTGACAGGTCAGGTACATGGAACAGTCGTTTGCTATTCATTCCAGGTAGTCGGCTCGACAAAGCACCATCTCTGGCCTATCTCTTTTTTTTTTTTTTTTTTTTTTTTTTTTGAGACGGAGTCTCGCTCTGTCGCCCAGGCTGGAGTGCAGTGGCCAGATCTCAGCTCACTGCAAGCTCCGCCTCCCAGGTTCACGCCATTCTCCTGCCTCAGCCTCCCGAGTAGCTGGGACCACAGGCGCCTGCCACCTCGCCCGGCTAGTTTTTTGTATTTTTAGTAGAGACGGGGTTTCACCATGTTAGCCAGGATGGTCTCGATCTCCTGACCTCGTGATCCGCCCGTCTCGGCCTCCCAAAGTGCTGGGATTACAGGCTTGAGCCACCGCGCCCGGCCTGGCCTATCTCTTTTAATGAGCCCAACCTCGGTATCTCCCCTCCACTGTGATGGTCTGGCAAATGCAGGGAGCATTGGCAGAGCAAGGGGAAGTCCAGCTTGGCAGGAAGCTACCTGGCCATCTGCTTGTATGCCTCTTCTGCCACGGCAAATATGTGTGGGTCCATATCGCCCATGTTCTGCCCGCTGTAGGCGTGGATGATGGCATCACCGTATATTGGCAACTGCTTATAAGGATTCATGGCCACCAAAATGATTCCTGGGGAAAGATGTTAGATGCAGTTAAAAGATTCTTACTGCCACCTGCCTCTCCAGTGTGTTTTTTTATGAAACCCCAGCTCTGTCACTTATTAAACCTTCTGTGTGACTTTGGGCAAGTCACTTCACGAGCTGAATTAATTCCCTGTCAGTCACCTACACCCTCCGGCCGGTCTGACGGTTGGATGACAGGACAGGTGGAAATGCTCCCAAACGGAAACATTTTTGCAGTTCACAATGTAAGTAATATCATTGCCCAAAATAAGTAATAAATGTATCAAATCCGATGAGAAACCCAAACACAAGCTTTGTTACATCTCTTTTTCTCGGTAGTCCAGTCTTAGTTCTTGTTGAAGACTCTCCCCACCTAGATACTTCTTTGTACAACAAACTCTGGGTGCTCAGTATAAACATAAAACAACCAGGAGGCTACAGACAGCAAGCTTCCATTCCAGTGCCATTCCTTACTTCCTAGAATTGCTCTCCTTACCACTGTAGGTGTAAATGAGTTTGGATTCTGCAAAGCGGATCCTGAGGTTGTGGAGCACCGCGGGCTCATGGAGATAGCTGAGAGCCGTGAGGTCATTCTCGCCCACGAGGATGTCAGGATTCCGAAGTGGAGGCAGAGATTCTGGATTGACGGGATAATCCAGCTCCTATGGACAAAGATAAAAGTAAAGCTCTGGAAATAGAAGAGTTTTGGCGTTCTGTTGAAGCACTGTTTTTATTTCCAGAGTCATCACTGACACTAAAAAGCAAATGTGTGTATAGCAACAAGAAAATCTTCACAGCTGACTCCTGGAATAATGAAAAGTAGGAGCAGGGGACTAGGGCACTGGCTATGTGCACTGGGGCAAGTCACTCGCCCTCTCCGGGCCTCATTTCTCTCATCTGCGAAGAGGAGCTAGACCAGACCACGGGTCCTTAGAGCTACAGAGGCCTCAATGAGGGGTGCTGGGGAAGCTACATGGGCAGAGATCCAGGTGCCCCATTCCTGAATCTCCCACAGGGGCTCTACCTGTATGTGGTTTCAATGTTGAGGTCATGCAAGTTTTTGTTTGAAAACAAGATGCTGTAGCTAAAATGACACAATGACCTAAGGTCCCTTTAACTCTAAGGTTGTTGAGTCTCTGCTCAAAGTTGACACACTTGGTGGTGACAAATACCTAAAGGAGTCCGTGCAGGTGGTGGTCTCTCCGTGACAGGCCCCTGGTGCAGGTGTCTCCTGTCTGCAGTCGCCCACATGCCCGAGGGCTCGCGGCTCCCCCAGCAGGGCTGTCTATTTCTATCACTCTCAGCCCTGGGCCAGGGAATCTTCCCAGACTTGCTCCTCTTCTGCTAGATTTAACCTAGTATTCCTAAAGCGGCTGCCTCAGCAGAACGAAGGTGAGGCGAGCAGGTCCCGTGGCATCTGTGCCACAGACGACTGGGCCTTTCCAATGTCAGAGTATTCTAATTCCTACACTCCCATTTCACCGCTGGGGGACGTGAAGCCCAACTAAAGCAACTTGAGCAGGTTACCCAGCATGCTTGTTTCTCTTCTACCTTCTCAGGCCACCGCCGCCTTCCTGGTATTCAGTCAGTATCTCTGGATTCCTTCTGATCTCTGGTCCTGGGCCAGCTCCACAAGGTGGCCCAGTTGCCCCTTAGCAAGTGCCACTGTGCAGACCCCATGCCAAGCACTCAGCATGCATTGTTTCATTTAATCCTCAAAACTGCCTTCCAGGGAGGACGTGACTACCCCAACCAAGAAAGTCAACGAGACAGGTTCAGAAAGTAGGAATTTGTTGTCCAAGGTCACACAGTGAATCTGGGTCTCACTCTGAAGCCTGTGCTCTCTCACTAGCACAGTGCTTCCTTGTCGATGGCAGGGGTTTCGCTGGCTGATTGGTCTGTTCTGCATAAAGCGAGCAGCTCAGGGCAATCCACAACTGGACACAGATCCTCAGGCCAGCTCCTGCTCCCCCGTTACCAATGCAAGTGTATGGTGACCTAACCCCGACCAGAATATTCTCAACCTAAACACTTTTGAAAATAAAATCAGGAACAATGATTCTCATACCTACTGACTTTCCTTGTCTCTGTTTTTCTATTGTAAATCCACAACCCCCACTTCTGGTTTGGCCTCTGTATGTGTTATGTGTGAAAGCAACAGGGAGGCAGAAAGGACAGTCTTTTGGAGGAGGGGAGAAAATGTAATGAACATTATGTTGACAGGTGGAGGCAGAGGTGACATTTTCCTACAGCACACAGGCCTTTTCTCTTACAGTATTGACAAAGGGTTGAGTTAAAGAGTGGTCTGGCTGTCCGCCATCCTACTCGCCTCTGCAGCCGGGTCAAGGCCGGGAATGTAGCCACCTGAAGCCCTGCAGACATTACCAAAGCAGCAAACTGACACTGCAGCTGCTGCCTTGAGATTTTCCTCCCCAGACAAAGCCACCTGATCCCTAATTGGAGCCCAGACTGTGCACAGGAGACACTCAACAAAAGCTGCGAGAGCTCCTGCTGGGCAGGGAAGCCCCAGGGAGCAAGAGGCTCTTCCCAGAGCTCCTGCCTTTCTTTACACATGCACACAGGATTGTCTCATCGCACTTCAGCAACCCTGGGATGGTGCAGTCATTACCTCCTTCGTACATATGGGGAAACTGGGGGCTTGCTGCCAAAGACTTAACAAGTGGCCATGCCAGGATCTGAAGCCAGATCATCTGATTCTAGAGGGTGTGTCTTTAACTGCTATGTTCATCTGCCTTCCCAGGATCTCAGGAAATGTCTCCCAAATCCAGGACAGTCTGATTAGAAGTAGTGTGCCCTGTCCCTGCAGAACCCATTCACATGCTTTGTCAATTAATCCTCACATGATGTTCCCCAGACCCAGCCCTGGGATCTAGATGGAGCACAAATCCCCTGCCCAGGTCTCTATCCAGATACTTGATTCTAAACCCATCCAGTCACCCTAGCTACAAATCCAGTGGAATGTCACTACAGCAATGGTGGGCAAGGACGACTCATGAGGGACACTTAGAGCACATGCAGTCTTCAGAAGCTGCGTCATCAGAAGGCACATGCAGCCTTGCAGGGAAGCTCCTCACTAGCTCATCCCACCACGGGGGCAACTGCTGAAGTTCATCCTCACCTCCCCCTCACCACACCAGCACCAACAGAGGCACCTTATAATGTCACACAAAGACAACATCCCTGTCTTCTTGTTCCTGCCACACTCCCTCCCTTACACATTTCTGTACATCCGTGGACCGGCTCCCTCCAATCTCCTCCCACTCCTCCCTCTCCCTGCCTATTTTCTATCTCCCTCTTCTCATTTTCCTCCCCTTCGCATCTTGATGTTTTTCTTTACCAGTGTATGCCTTGGGCTCAAACGACTTCTCTCCAAGTTTTTCATCTTTGCCCAATCTCTGGGCTGAGACTCAGGAAGCCAAAATAGAGAATCACTTTTCAGCAGTCTCCCAGTAATGCTGGGTGCCTGGAAATGCAGTGCCGTGGCACAGACCTGGCTCCTGCAGCTGGGCCCTCTTCACAGAGAGAGGCCCGGTGGATGCAGGGCAGCATAGGGGAAGGAGGGAAGGAGTACAGACACATCAGTGAGTCCTGGTGCCAGGGTGCCATTTGGGATGGTGCTGGTGCCCACTCATGCGCCCTCCCTTGGGTGCCTCCCACGGGGTCCACGTGTCCCCATCCTCACACATACCCCAGCTACCACGTTACACATCGACGCAGCCGCAAACAGCATGGACTCTCACCGTTCCATCCTCCAGCAGGAGTCGCAGGACCTTGTCACCAACTCTGTAGTCCGTGGCTATTTCAGCAGACTTCCAAACTTCTTCAGGATCGGGAATCCAGACCCTGTTGTACTGACCAACAGGATGAGAAAAGCTGAATTTCAGAACTTTCAAAAGCATGGATCAATGCATGGTTAGATGCAGGAAGGTTTCTTTCTGTCCACTAGGTCAGCTCCTTTATGAGGAATACGTCTACCTAATTTTGCTTTTATGAGGTGATCTTTCATGCATTTGCAACGCACTGGGCCTGGCTGCCTCAGTTTACAGGCAATGGAAATCCCAAAGCCTTCTAGATAAACCTTGAATGCTGAAAACCTGGACGTGGGAAAGAAATCTGCGAGTACCTTAATGGAAACATCTCATGGCTGTCTACAGGGTTAGAGGAGAGGGATTTCTTTTACCACTGATTGACTATGGAACTCTGGGCCAGACACTTAACAGTGCCTCATTTTTCTCATCCACAAAATCACCACAACAATATCTATTTCACAAGTTCCCTGGGAGGTTAAATTAGACTTCGTACTTGAAAGAACTTTGTAAAATGCTATGAAAGTATTGTTACAGCAATGCCATCACAATCTTATCACACCGGTGGGCTACCAAGGACTCCCACAGTGGGAAATGCAGAAGTCCAGACACAGCCACCCAGCTCAATTCCCAGCAGGCAACGGGTACGCCTGGCTCAGTGCCGATGTGCAAGTCTTTGGGTAGAACCATGTTGCTGTGGGCTGAACTGTGTGTCCCCCAAATTCATATGTTGAAGCCCTAACCCGCAATTGACTACATCCGGAGATAGGGTCTTCAGAAGGTAATTAAGGTTCAATGACATCATGAGGGTAAGGCACTGACCCAACAGGATTTTCTTTTCTTGAGATGGATTTTCACTCTTATTGCCCAGGCTGTAGTGCAGTGGCATGAACCTGGCTCACTGCAACCTCTGCCTCCTGGTTCAAGTGATTCTCCTGCCTCGGCCTCCTGAGCAGCTGGGATTACAGGCGCCCACCACCACGCTGGCTAATTTTGTTTTTTTAGTAGAGATGGGGGTCTCACCATGTTGGTCAGGCTGGTCTCGAACTTCTGATCTCAAGTGATCCACCTGCCTCAGCCTCCCAAAGTGCTGGGATTACAGGCATGAGCCACCACGCCCAGTAGGATTTTAAAATTAGTGTCCTTATATAAGACACCTGAGAGTTTGATGTATTTTTCTACAATATGCATCTATTACTTTTATAATCAGAACAATAAATATTAATCTTTAAAGGCAAATATCAAAATATAAGCCCCCCCTCAAAGAATGGTACATTAAATTCTGTGATATGGGACATAATAACTTCATTTATAATGGACAAAAATTGGAAACAGATTAAATGTCCATTAATGAGAATTTTTAAAAATGCCTGCAGTATACCCATACAATGAAATACAACTTACTCATAAAAAGGAATGAACTACTGCTGCAAGCAAAAGCATGGGTGAGTCACCAAAGCACGCTGAGTTAAAGAAGTCTTACACAAATGAGTACCTCCTATGTGAGTCCCTTCAAATTGAGAGGTGATTAACAGGCTAGCAGCCCTCACTCTCGGCGCCCCCTCGGCCTCAGAGTCCACCCTGGCGGAGCTTGAGGAGCCCTTCAGCCCACCACAGCACGGTGGGAGCCCCCCTCTGGGCTAGTCCAGGCCGAAGCCGGCTCCCTCTGCTTGTAGGGCGGTGCGGAGGGAGAGGCACAGGCGAGAACCGCGGCTGCGCGCGGTGCTCGCGGGCCAGCGCCAGGTCCGGGAGGGCGTGGGCTCGGCAGACCCAGCACTCCGAGCGGTCAGCCGCAGGCCCGGGACAGTGAGCGGCTTAGCACCCGGGCCAGCAGCTGCAGAGGGTGCCTTGGGTCCCCCAGCAGTGCCGGCCCGCCAGCGCTGCGCTTGAATGCTCGTAGGGCCTCAGCTCCCTCCCTGCCGGGCAGAGCTCCGGATCTGCAGCCCGCCATGCCTGACCCTCCCCTCCTCCGCCCCTCCCCGAAGAGCGCCGCCCCCTGCGCCGCGGCTCCGGGTCCCATCAACAGCCCAAGGGCTGAGGAGTGCGGGCGCAGGGAGCGCGACTGTCAGGCAGCTCCGCCTGCAGCCCTGGTGCGGGATCCACTAGGTGAAGCCAGCTGGGCTCCTGGGTCTAGTGGGGACCTGGAGAACCTTTAGGTCTAACTAATGCATTGTAAATACACCAGTCAGCACTCTGTGTCTAGCTCAGGGATTGTAAATGCACCAATCAGCACGCTGTCAAAAATGGACCAATCAGCTCTCTGTAAAATGAACCAATCAGCAGGATGTGGGTTGGGTCAGGTAACCGAATAAAAGCAGGCTGCTGGGGCCAGTAGTGGCAACCTGCTTGGGTCCCCATCCATGCTGTGGAGGTTTTGTGCTTTTGCTCTTTGCAATAGGTCTTGCTGCTGCTCACCCTTTGGGGCTGCACTACCTTTATGAGCTGTAACACTCAGCAAAGGTCTGCAGCTTCACTCCTGAAGCCAGCAAGACCACGAACCCACCAGGAGGAACAAACAACTCCAGACGCACTGCCTTTAAGAGCTGTAACACTCACTGCTAAGGTTTGCTGCTTCGCTCCTGAAGCCAGAGAGACCACTAACCCACCAGAAGGAAAAAACTCTAAAGACATCCGAACATCAGAAGGAACAAACTCCAGACACACCATCTTTAAGAACCGTAACACTCACTGTGAGGGTCTGCGGCTTCATTCTTGAAGTCAGTGAGGCCAAGAACCCACCGATTGTGGACACAAAATCAGGTTCTGGAACAGCTAAAACTAATGCGTGCTGGGAAACAATTTACAGCAGTAGTTGCCTCTGAGGGTGGGTGGGGCCAGGGAGTGACTCCAAAGGTGTGTGAGGGGGTCTTCTGGGAGCGATGGTAACAATCTGTATCTTGATGGGGCTTGGGTTACATAGGGGCTAAGCACTTTTCAAACCTAAGACAATGCAGACTTAAGATTGGTGCATCTCATTGTGTGTAAATTTTACACACAAAAAATATGGAACTCTAGTTAATACGCATACTGAAATATTTAGAAGGTGTGTTGATATATGACTTAAAGATGCTTCAAAAAAGTGAGATGAATTGCAGGTCAGATAGAAGAACAGAAAGATGGATAGACATGGGATACAATGAATATGGTAGACTGTCCACACCAGAATCCAGGTGGTAAAACAGGTGCTCACTATAATTTCTTTTTTTTTTAAGAGACAGGATCTAGTTTTGTGGCCCAGGCTGGAGTGCAGTGACATGATCACAGCTCACTGGAGCCTTGAACCTCTGGGTTCAAGTGATCCTCCTGTCTTAGCCTCCCGAAGTGCTAAGATTACAGGTATAAACCATCGTGCCTGACCTGTAAAGTTATTTCAACATTGCATTATGCTTAAGATGTTAATATAAAAATGCCGGAGGAAATAAAGAATAAGAATAAAACAGCCTGGGCACGGTGGCTCACATCTGTAGTCCCAGCACTTTGGGAGGCCAAGGTGGGTGGGTCACGTGAGGTCAGGAGTTGAGGACCAGCTTGGCCAAAATGGTTAAACCCCATCTCTACAAAAAATACAAAAATCAGCTGGGTGTGGTGGTGCGCACCTGTAATCCCAACTACTCAGGAGGCTGAGGCAGGAGAATCGCTTGAACCTAGGAGGTGGAGGTTGCAGTGAGCTGAGATCGCACCACTGCCCTCCAGTCTGGGAGGCAAGAGTGAAACTCCATCTCAAAAGAAAAAAAAAAAGTTCACAGTACAAGTACTAGACTAGGACAATGTTGGATGAGGAACACATCTGTTAATATAAATCGCCTTGCTTACTCAATAAAAAAGTCACTGGATGGATATCAATCGTGACTACCCCTAAATCATTTGAATTGCTTTAATCCTTAACAGCTAGCAAAAAGCAGGAGCTTGCAGAAATGTGACATGGATGTGTAAGTTTTGAGAGAGCGAGAATGGAAGAGCACTTTGGGAGGCCGAGGCGGGTGGATCACCTGAGATCGGGAGATCGAGACTAGCCTCACCAATATGGAGAAACCCCGTCTCTACTAAAAATACATCCCAGAGACCTTCTCTGGCTGGAGAAACCCATTCACTGAAATGCAAAAATTTGTGGGTGGCCCAGGTGGCAGGTGCCTGTAATCCCAGCTACTTGGGAGGCTGGGAGGCAGGAGAATCGGCCAGACCCGGGAGGCGGAGTTTGGTAGGCCAGATCGCTGCATTGCACTCCAGCCTGGGCGACAAAGTGAAAGACTAGCCTCACCAATATGGAGAAACCCCGTCTCTACTAAAAATACAAAAAAATTTAGCCAGGTGTGGTGGCAGGTGCCTGTAATCCCAGCTACTTGGGAGGCTGAGGCAGGAGAATCGCTTGAACCCGGGAGGCGGAGGTTTCGGTGAGCCAAGATCATGCCATTGCACTCCAGCCTGGGCGACAAGAGTGAAACTCCATCTCAAAAAAAAAAAAAAAAAAAAAAAAAAAAAATGAAGTTGTCCAGCTGGCTAAGCGAAGCAGGTGAAAGTGGAGGTGTTCTGACGGAGCTGGAGCGGAGGGCCCTGGGGACAATCCAAGGAAGCCTGGGCTCTGAGAGGTAATGTGAAAGTCACTAGGCCAGTCAATCCTTTTGTTTGACAGAGCCCCTACCTGAAGCCCAGAGAGAGCAGTAACTCACCAAACAGCACAGAGTCTCAAAGGACCAGGACTCCAGTGGAGCTAGGGCCTGTGACTCCTAGTTTGAACTCCTTGTTAATTAAACGAATCTGGCCCTGAAAGTAATCCTGAACTCTGAACTGCAACCATCTACTTTACAATCCATGTGCTCTCCTAACTATAGTTTAGGATTGGTTTCAGCTGAAAGTGGTATTAAATGGCAGGTAATATTAGGACATACGTAACCACTGGCGGCTTCTCTTCTGAAGACCAGGGACTCCTCAGCCCAGTACCCCAGGCTGCCCACACCCTGCGATCCTGGTGCCTTTGCTGGCATTGAGTGCCCTTGCAGCTGAAACCCAGCCTGGTAAGTAAACACGGTGAGTTTACTCAGCTCCAG